CAGCAATGTGTGTGAGAGATGAGTATATATAGTCCATGGAATAAGTCTATGATTTGTATCCAGCTGTGTGTGGGCAATCAGGGAGAGAACTGAAACTGGTGTGTGTGTGTGTGTGTGTGTGTGTGTGTGTGTGTGTGTGTGTGTATGTATGTGTGTGTGTGTGTGTGTGTGTGTGTGTGTGTGAGAGAGAGTGTGTGAGAGTGAGTGAGTGAGAGAGAGAGAGAGAGGTGCATCATGGGATTTAAAGTCCAGTTCCATGACAGATTTGTAGTTTGCCAGGGATCTGCAACTGCTAGATTGCTGAAGATTGTGACAGTTTGAGGTGTGAGCAATTTGTTTCATTAACAAAACAGTACCAAGTAGAAACGTTGCAAGTGCCTCATCTTTTCTGCATATGATAATCACAAGTATAGCATCTCACTAACCTGGGGAAAAAAAAAATAATTCAGTAGCCTAAAAACCAAAAATTAGTTAACATGCACAACAAATGTATATTAGTGAATGCTAATGTGTATGTTAGCATTCATTACTTACTTCTTTTTTAAAAATATATTTATTATCTGTTTTTTGTCCTGTCTCTGTAATTCTGTTGCACTATAGAAGCTCTGTCATGAAAATAAATTCCTCGTATATGTGAACATACCTGGCAATAAAGCTCTTTCTAATTCTGATTCAAATTATATGACTTCACAAAGCAGTACTGTAATTATATTGGTTTATTCCCTGCTTTATCAGGGGTCACCACAGTGGAATGAACCATCGATTACTCTGGCATATGTAATATGCCTTGGATTCCCATCCAGCCACAACTCAGCACTGAGGGTTGTAGTCTCAAAAAAACTAACTAAAAAAAAAAAACACCCACACAATCACCTAAACACACTATGGCTAATTTAGTTCATCCAATTCACTCATACATGTCTTTGGACTATGGGGGAAACTGGAGCACCTGGATGAAACCCATGCAGACACAAGGAAAACAAACAAACTTCATATAGAAAGGCTAGCTTAAAAGATCAGCTGGGACTCAAACCAGTAACCTTTTTGCTATTAGGCAACCACTTCGCCACTGTTTTATTTTAATGTTGCATTACTACTGTTATATTAATATGTCAATAATGTAAAAAATGCAACAGAAAATACCAAATTTATGGCATAATGTCATGGTATGTTAATGTTACTACAGTAAAATCATGTTGGCTACTGTTGGCTATTTGTGGGTTAAACCTCCTTTTTACCTGAATCAGTAAGTACGTTTACATAGACACCAATAATCGAATTTTAACACAACTACGACAATAGTCAGATTAAGAGTCATGTAAGCAGCAATTTTTCATTACCATCATACGACTTAAGTCAAAATCGAACTAAACAGAAATTAGATTAAGACATGTGGAGTATGTTTTAGTCACATAATTTAAGCTCAGCACAGACATGTAAACACCTTAATCAAACTATTACCGTTGTGTAGGATTTTTGCCGCATTTTGTTACAGGATAGTCTGTAAACACACGGCTGTTTGACACTATTCTCTGCACCTACCAAGTCAGTGAAAGACCACAGACACCTGCATTACAAAATTCGAAGGTTTTTTCCCCATGCTGCGTGCAATATCTAATTCCATTAAAACAACACTCTTCAAGCAGTTCATACTGGTATTCAATATCTCATTTGTCACGGGGGTATGCATGAAATGTTCTTGAATGAAAGTGAAAGTGCGAAACTGCAAGTAAAGTCGACAAATTAAAAATGAAACACACGAAGTTACATGAAACTCTGTAGGAAATGGCATGGATAGCTTGATGACCTATGACGTTTACCGAATTATGTGCTAAAACATGTGAAATGGGATCATGAAAGGAACATTCAAAAAGTAACTCATGTCAACACCTTAATTATATTACTGTCTTAATCAGATTAAGGCAAATAATTTAATAACTGATGTAAATGTAAACATAGTTAGTGTTGCACAGTGTTTCTGCTGTTGAGAATGGTGTATTTGGCATTAAAACTAGTTGAAATCACAGAGTACTGAAAGCAAGCTTCTCACCTGATTCCACTGGCCTGTTTAGTGGTCACTTGATTATAACAGGTTATGCCGAGTTCAGACTGCATGATTTCAAATTAATCGTGTTACAGATGTTTTAACACTGCATGATCTGGGCTAGTATTTTGTTGCTGTTTTGTTTACACTGCAAGATAGATTGGCAACAGGGGGTTTCACATTGTATGTCTTTAAAAAAGCAAGAATCGCAGACAACTTTGTTCAAACTACGTCTCACAACCAAAAATACGAAGTATATCTTTTGTTATTAACTACATAATGAAAAAGAAGCCTTTAATGGGGAGAAAATGTATATACTTGCTCAACTGGGTTAGAAGGGAATTAGCAATTAGTCCTCAACTTTCTGTTTTGACTTTCTATATGACAGGTCTAACAGACACATGTGCTGCTGCCAAATTTCCACTAGTTTTTCCATCATTTCTTGGGTCCAAATAAACTGAAAATGAGTGCTTTTACCTTCTCCCTCAACCTCCCGCTTGCCTGCAGGTACACACACAAGTGAATGCTGCACTCTTATTGCCTGTAGGCAATCACCAATGTTATTTTCAGGCAAAGCTCATTCCACAAATATCTCACCGGCATCTGCCACTCATCGGCGATTCTCTCAGGTCGCGTCTTTGATAGTTCACATTGTGTGATTGCCACTCGCGTGAACGAGCACCGATTTGCCTTTGATTTCAGGCATTTGTCTGCGATTTCTCAAAACCTGTAATATAGGCTCTCTCTTCAGAATGTGCAGTGTTTTCTTTGTCTTTTGGTCCAACTGATGGTCTGTCCGGTTGATGATTTAAATGTTCAAATGAGTAGCGCTATTTCATTCTGCTCTTGGTGCGATTTCTCATATGGAAAAGAATTGCAATGCTATCAATCTGGCAATTTGGTAGTTGCACCCATGCCACCTCTAGAGCTTTTTATTCACACCATTCTCTGCACCTACTGTACCAAACATCAAAAAGCATTTTTATTTGCTTCATTAGATTTCAGTTCATTTATTCAGTAAATTCCATACTTAACACCTTTCTTAAAGTAATTCAGTTAAAGATAAACACCAGAATTAATACCAGAAGAATACAATTAGGTAACCATCTGTAACCAGGTGTAATAGCACATTCTCACCCTCAGCTCATCACGTATTTATTCTTCAGGAAATAATTGTATTTCGACAGAGCCTGAAACTCCAGGATGTCAGCCCTGTTATTTTTAACTCCCACAGTGCTTATCAAAGGTCCTTTCCTGGTTTTTTGTCAGATTGTATCCACCCATTCACCTGAATCCACTGTGTTTTTGAAATGCACACCAAATAAAGGCCAGGACATTGAGGGTCACGCAGTCACAAACATTCCCACCAGTTTCCGTCATGATTGAGGATGTCATGCCAGTATTTTCCTCAATTTTTGTTGTCCTCTTTGGGGTTGTACAGATGTTTTCAGGCTCTAAGTCTATTTCAGGTAATCAGAGAGGGCTTTCCCACAATGCCACTGAGCATGTATCTGCCAAAGATGCTTGTTTATGCTATAAACATGCCTCTTGACATTCAAAATCAAAACAGGAAGGTAAACGTAGCTCTTTTCTGTTACACTTAATAGCGTGACAGATTAGTAGCGATACAATGGACATGGTGTACTAGTTTTGATAGCCTGCTTGTATGTACATTTGACTACCATTTGTAGCAAGAGGTCTCAGAACACCTTGAGAATTGCGAGTCTGCTCATTAGATCAGTTATAAATTGTCCTTCACCAGTAGAGGCTCGATGTCAAGCCTAATCTGTGTCCCTGTGGAAATCTTTCATCTGTATTTGTCAGGTGGAAGTCAGTACCTATTGTCCATCTTCCTCTTACTGAAAACATTTTCATCATGGGTTTATTGGAGGCCAGCCATTGCAGAATATTGCGTCAGATGGACTGTCCTCATATGCCCTGATTTGATTAGATGCACAAAGCCTTATTATTATTATTATTTCATTAATTAATTAAAAATACAATCTGCTAAAAAAATTGAGTATATTTATTTATAAGGACTAAAAGGAGACATACAATTATGGTGTTTGCGTCAAATACAATTTACAGCAGATATTGAATATACATAGAGAGCATATTAAATGCAAGTTTTTTTTGTGGAATAAAATACGCATGTATTGTAAATATGCATGTATTTCTGACAGTTGTACTTTTTGACTGCAGTTTCATCCTTAAATAAGTATTATACTGTAATATGTCATCAAATTATTGTTAATGTATATATGACTGGGATGAATGCTTTGGTACTGTGGATAAACTATTGTTTTGTTCAATGACATTTTTGTCTTCTGTTATAAATGATAAAACAATTGATACTATAGTCCAGGGGTTCCCAAACTTTTCAGCCTACGACCCCCAAAATAACAATTCCAGTGACTCGCGACCTCCACTTTCCTCAAAGGTGGTTATAAACATACAAACATTGCACACAACGGTGCACACACACCAATAGAAACTAATATACCATATAACTCTTATAATTTTTAAATATAAAGTCATTATTCATTTGTTTTGTTTTATATTAACTGGTTTTTTATTTGTACGTTGTTTATTTATGTAACTATAAATACTATTTTTATCTTCTGTAGGTTATGCATAAAATATGGTGATTCGAATGGTTTAATAACCTATGTAAGAAACCCTCCCTCATTGGCTCCCGACCCGCAATTCGGTAACCACTGCTATAGCCTGTAATGTATTGTAGGAAAAAAGTATATTCAAATATACTAAAAACCCCAGAGTTTACAGCTTCATTACACATTTATGGTTCTAATACCTGAAAAACAGCTTAAATAAAACTGGCATCTAAATTAGATCTACCTCTGGTGTCAGACATGCAATTAAACATTATTTTCTATATGTCATGCAACTCAATTGAAATATACAAAAATGTCAACCATTTTTTTTTATTTTATAGGGACAAAAAAGAAGACTAAAGTCATCAAAAATAATGTCAATCCTGTCTGGAATGAGGTCAGTCGAATTGCTTCTTACATTTAACTTACAGCTGTCATTTAACCACTTCAGTTTGTTAACATAATTGATGTTACAAATGTTTTAACCAAGTCATTATTTTCTAATTTTACTTTTCCTTCCCACAGGGCTTTGAGTGGGACCTGAAGGGTGTTCCTTTAGATTCGGGAGCAGAGCTTCATGTTGTCGTTAAAGACCATGAGAAAATGGGCAGGAATAGGTAAGGTTTCCCTTTCATTTACTCCCATTTTCTCTTTTTTACTGGTAATAAAAGTGTAAGAATGTGGATCTCAAAAAATTAGGCAACATCTCTGCCTACCTAAAACAGTTGCTCAACAATTCAGTTGGGAGAGCTGTAGAATTAATGGAATGTGCTATTGTTTAAATGACTAGTTGGAGAATGTGGTAAACAGCCATATCTTATCTGCCCAGAACTGCTTCCTCAATGGGTTTTAGTGTGTCTAATCTCTAATAAATTAGACTAATATAGAAACCCAACAAGCCTTTAGAAACCAAATCCATTAGGGCTGTATTCAATTGATAAAAAACAATAATAATGGTAAACTTTTGTAATAGAAGCATTTAACTGTTTTCTATTTTAATGTTTCAATATGTAATATCTTGTAATGACAAGATGCCTCAAAAATTCTTTTTTTGTTTATCTTTGTGAAAAAATTGGTACTATTTCAGGATTATTAGTTAACAGAAGAACAGTATTTATTTAGAATACAAATATTTTGTACTTTTTGTATTTTTTGTATTTTGTACTTTGATCAGTTTAACAGTGAAGAAAATAACAATTTCTTTAATAATCTAATGCATATTCAGCCAAAAGTTTTAAATAGTAGCATATATCTATAGCATACACTGGTTCACTTTATAATATTGCCTTTAAAACCTGGTAACAATGTCTTAATATGTCTAAATGTAATGCAAATGTAATAGAAAACAGTACATACTCAGTAAATTCTTATAACCAATTTGAAATCCAGGCTATTTGTAAAAACACAAATGCATAAGATGAAAAAGGGGTTTATAGCTTGAGACCCCTCAATATTGGGAGAAGTATTGCTCCTTTAAGAAATAAAGATATTTGAGAGCAGGGAAAAAAGGAAGGAAAAGCCAATTGGATGGAGAGCAATGCCCACAGGAAGTGAGTCAGGGCGGCTTGTCATCTCTTTCCTTTCAAACCTTATCTGAGCCACTGAAAGCAACATAAGAACGGTCGTTTTTAGAAAAGCCGGCTAGACAGCGAAAAAAATTGTCCCATAGGGTCAAAGCCTAGTAATCTGTCACAACTGTTTAGCTTTATTTCTGGCCATCGGATTGTACATTCACCTCTTTAAATAGCATGCCGGTTGTTAAATTTTGCCTTTGTGTATGTTTGCAGGTTTCTGGGGGAGTGTCGAGTTGCTCTTCGAGATGTGCTCAATTCTCCAAACCTGGCTGCTACTTTTACCGTGTCCCTGGTCGACACAAAGAGAAACAGCACTGGGGTGCGTTTCTCTGTTTTGTCTTTCTTTCCTACTGATCAACTACATGGCTGTCTGTCTGAATATCCTTTGGTCTTAAAAAGTCTAAGATTCCATAGTATAAAAATAAGGCCTTATAAAGTCTTAAAATGTCTTAAATATGCATTTCAATGGTTTTAAAATGCAATTGAAATGATGCCGTAAATATGACTTTTTGTCCAATTTGAAATCTACTGAAAATATTTTCATCTATTTGTCACCCAGAACAAAATAGATGGAACCTAATAAAATACATGCTCACGGGGATTTTGCTTACACTAGCAACGTTCACTGGGATTTTACTTACACAAGCAGAGTTTGTATCAAGCAGATATGCACCAATTGATCAGCTTGGGACTGGAATTGGATGATTTTTGGCATTACGGCGATGATTACAGTGGTAGCATGATATACAATAAAAAGTGTTAAGGATGGTAATTATTTGTGTTTCAAAATAATTTCATTCTTTGTGGTATTAAAAAGGTCTTAAAACATCTTAAATATTGCTCCTAGAAACCTGCAGATTCCCTGTTGAACCCTGGACATTTTTGGTCAAGTTAGTTCACTTTCACATTTTCTTAGATCTTAATACAATGCCGATTGTTTCAAGACACTGACCACAATTAAGCAAGCTGAAAGCAGCAAAAGCAGGGTACCTAAACATGATCAGTTGTTTGAAAAATATATCAGACCTTGGTGGAGGTAGTGCACATATCACTATGAATAGGAGAAAGTTCAGCTGCACTTATGGTGGAATAAGTGTGATCCTTTAAATAAAGGAGCCATTTACAAATAGAATGCAACAATCAGGTTTCGATAGCAAAAATTCGCACTTGTTCTATTTAATCAGGGATGTTTTCCCTCGAGCAATACATTTTGTTTGAGTTCAATTGTTTGTTTTTAACTGTACAGTCAAATGCACATGAGGACGAGTGTTTGTGAATTAGGCTAATTTGGCTTTTATGTCAGGAGATTAATGTAATCACAGTTCACTGTGCCTTGTAATTCACTTAATGCTTTGGTGGTATGTGTAAGGCATTGGATGCAAGCAGAGCAAGGTTGTGTGTAAAGCAAACAGCACCATCTGCTGTTAAAATAAGCTCTGAATCTAATCAAAAGGGAGTAGCGATGCATTTTGACAATCTGATGGTCAATTTCTTGAACAATTTTTTTAATAGCTTTACAGATTTTAAACTGTCTTTAGTTGTGAAAATCGTAATACATTAACTCTGGTCTGGTGTAACTGCCAATACGCTTTGCATCACCACCACTGGGGTGTATTATTCTTCTAATAATTCATAGGCCTATTATTCATTATTCCTTACTTATTTGTTTCAAAGTATCATATTTAATAACAAAATCTACAAAGAAAGCTTATACATCCAAAAGGTCAAAATGCTTCCTTCAAATGATGCATTCAAAAGCTTCTGGAAGCAAAACTGCTAAAAGTAGCTAAGGCAGTCTATTGGTAAAGTCATTTAGTCAATGTAGCTGTTTTTAGTTAACTGGGCTCACATGTCCATTGGCTCCTCAAACATAAAATATAAGCATTTTAACCCTATTTAAGCATAAATAACAACGTTTATGGGGCAGCACATGTCAATTTTGCAAGTTTAGAATACCTGGTCTTAACTTGAGTATATAACTCGTTCTTGGATGCCTAAAACAGCTGCCCTGGTCCATTACAAACACTGAGGGAACAGACTTCCTTTAAAAGACCCCACCTTCATGTCCTATTTTGCCCGTTTCTCTGGAAAAGAATCGTCAATTCACATCACCCCTGTCCCATATGTAATTTAAGAAAGGCATTTTGAAGAAATACTACAAGGCTATTTCTTACACAACACAGTGCCACTTCCTGGAATTGTGTGTGGTTTTGTAGGTTGACGTTGGATGATGGAGAGCGAAAAGAAGGAGAGTGAAAGGTGGAGCTGGTTTTCTTAGCTCTTCTGCATCCGTGTACTCTTGAAATAGCTGAGTACGGAAATAATTTTAGGAAAGCACTTTATAAAGTATCACCCTGACGCCGGTCTAATCTCAAAAAACAACTTCATCATGCAACTTTAAAATTTTCAACCCTCCCAAAACATAAATCTTCATTTTGCACTTTGATAAGCTTTTCAGAATAGATCAAGTGATTTTGTCATTTAACAAAATGAATGAAGAACAATGAAAGCAGCTTTATTTAGGATTTATTAGTTAAAAAGTATTTTAAAAGCACTAATATTGTGTAGAATTGCAATTCAAATAATAAAATGATTATTCATAATAAAAATGTGATGATCATTAATCTGTCAGCATTAGTTTAAGAATAATTTTAAATATGCAGAATTGGCGCATTTCTACTGAAATCCATTTTTTAATAATTAAAAAAATCAATTGTATGTACCTTTTTTTTTTTTTTAAATGTAATGTTTCATCAATTTTATGTGCCTTTGCTGAACAGAAGTATGGATTTCTTTTTTTTAAATTAAAACATCCAATATTTAAATGAAAAATAAATGTTTTAAGGGAGCCAAATCTGGCAACAGACTGATGAAAAAAACAAAATGTACTTCATCCATATCAGAATTGCAACAGTGAAAAGATTAAGCTGGAATTTATTGCAGCTTTTTTCATTATTGTTGCATCATTGCAGATCTTGTGCTCTTCAGTATTTCTAATGAATGTTCAAAAAAATCTTCAATCTGTATTCTCTCTGCCAGGCCACAATAACCCTGCAGGTCTCCTACATCCCTCCTCCAGGGATGACGCCCATCTTTCAGCCTCCTCCACAGCCAGAGGCCCAGCACACACCGGTGGAGCTGGACACAGTCACAGGTCAGCTGTAGTATTACTTCAAACATGCAGTACAGTAGTTTTCATTCATACATTCATCAACTGTGTAGATTTAAAGAGTTCATGAATGGCATTTTTTTGTTTTATTTTGTACTGATTCCTGTGTTCCACTTCTATTGTGATCAAGATTCTGACATCTATATAAGATATATATATATATGCACACACATACACAATTCGAAAAATATACACAATAATTGTTTATCTATAAAATTTTGTATATAACATTTATAGTCTTTTTTTCTGTCCTGTGGATATGCATGATAATAAGCACAAGAAATTAGTTTATTGTTATGATTGGCAAAAAATTTGGCAAATTTAAACATTTTAAATAATTATAAAGCTATTGTGACCGCTTTATGTCATGACATATGTACACATACTGTATATACATTGTAATATGGTTTCATATTGCTTGTTATAGAAATGACTCTCTTATTCCACTCTAAATCCTTTATAGATGGCCAGTGCTATGATTAAAGACACAAAAACACTCAATGCATATTAACCGATCTGTAATAAGACAGCTAGTCAATGTGTGCTAGTGTGACATTAATATTACATCCAGTGTAGTGTCTTTCTAAAAATCCTGCCATTGATCATCTGCGGAGGTGGTGTTTAGCCACAGTATCATATAATAAACGTACACATTCCACAGCCTGTCATTGTCGCAGATTGGCATCAGTTGTACACTGTTAGACATTTCAAAGGGTTTTTACAGTAACTTACTGGCAACACTGTTGCCAGTAAGTTACTGTATTTGAGATTTACAGTATACAACCGTAAATCCATTTACAGCATGTTACCGTAGTGTCTGAAAATGGTTAACTACTGTAAAAACCTAAGTAAACAGTTAGCTACTGTAAACTTTTTAATTTTGTCTTAAATATTTTATAATATAATTTTATTAATATTATTTTAATACTTTTGACATAAAAAAACACAATTACAAAATATTAACAAAATAAACACTTTATTTAAAACATTGGAGATGCTTAAAACATTTAAGAAAAATGTGTAAAAACATTACATCTCAATCATTCAAAATATTTTATTTTAAGAAAAAAAAACAGTGAAAACGACAAAGCACATGAACATACATGTACAAAACTAATTTAAGTGTCTGACCTGCATATTGTTGAGAGAAAAAAAAAACCCAATTGTACTATGTACTACTGACATTAAACCAGACACAATTACAAAATATTCCATTCTTTAAAACATTAATAATGCTTGAAGCATTTAAGGAAAATGTGTGAAAATTACATTAAGCATTAAAATCAACAGATTAAAAATAAATAAATTACACAAAGCACTAGAACATACATGTACATTAATAATTTAAACGTCTGAATTGCATATTTTTGGAAAAATAAATATTTGTAACTATTAGCCGACTCAGAAACAACCCAGCTTTAAAATATTACTAGTTCTGGTGTCAAATGCTCAACAAGGTCTGAATTCACATGTTCAAATGCAATTCATCTTTATTTCTATTGCACTTTTACAATGTAGATCAATGATGTCAAAGCAGCTTAACATAGAAGTTCTTGTAAATTGAAGCTGCTTCAGTCCAGTTTTCAGAATTGAAGCAGTAAATGTCACTGCTGAAAGTCCAAACACTGAAGAGCAAATCCACCGATCCACCAATCGAAGCCAAGTGAACAAGTGGCGACAGTGGCATGGAACAAACTTCACCAACTGACGAAAGTGTAGAATAAAAGCCCTTGAGTGAAACCAGGCTCAGTTGGGCAAGACCAGTTCTCCTCTAGCCAAACTTGTGCAAGGCCGCAGTCTAGGCACCGGAGGCTTGAAAGTTCACCAGCGGGTGGTCAGGCTGGCCCATTGGATCAATGCGGAAACGCATTGATCACGTGTGTCTTTTAGGATTCACTCCTCCATGACCACCACAGCATCTGGTCAGGATTTGGCCCAGTCCAGGATTATGAAGAACTCTGGATAAGGAGAAACAGACTAACATGAGCATAGAAGAAGCTTGTTTAAAAAAAAAAAAATCATATACTGGTTAATTATTTTGAAGCATGGCAGCTGGGTTGGGCTAGTTTTCAGCTGGTACTGAGCAACTGGCTCCTGCTCAAAACCTGCTCACTACCATGTTTAAAAGATAACTAACCAGAATGTCCTGTTATTTTTTTTCCCCAACAAGGTTTTACAAAAACATTGTAGCATTTATGATGGGTTGATTAACTGCAGGACAGATTAGACAATTTGTTTTATGTATTCCTAATAAACTAAAACAGACTGAATACTGATACAACTATTGAGAGTGTCTTACCTAATCCAAGTTCTCAGTTAGCTGGTGAAAGAAGGATAACTCACTGTTGTTCATGGTTGTCATTCTCTTCATTACTTCTCCTGCCTTCTTCTGGCTCACTCTGGTTGTTGCTGTGCATTTTGTTTCATCCTCTGGAATTATTTATACAAAAAAAAAAAATTAGGCAACATGAAATGGGGAAAAAGACTTTTAATACATAGACAAATGCATGTATCCCAATAATAATTATTATATTACGAAATGTCTGACCCATGACAGACCTCAATCTGCTCAAAAATATTATAAACAAAGATGAAAAAAAACCTACTAAATGGTTTATTAAAAAGGGAAACAAATCTTTTATTTAGCTAGCAACTAAACATGTGACACATTTTGTATTAAAAGTAACATTACTATATTGAGAAACAAATAAATGTACAGTACTTACTGTTGTATGAGGTCCAGTTTGCACAGGCAAGTTCCCAGTATTCTATATTGAAACTATAAAAAAGCCAAAAATACAGATAAGAATACCTTGCTACAATCCACAACCTCCACACAACTTTTTTTTTTTATTAGTTTACCTTGGTTGCTTACTGGTCTTGCTTATTTTTAAGCATAAGGCTGTGCTGATCAAGATGTTCCTCCGAAATGCTGTTTTCTTCTTCAGCCAAAACCTGCTGCTGTGTCAGTGCCATATCTAAACAGAAAAAAATATAATGGTAACAATTATGTTAAACCAAATGTCAAGAGTTGTGATAAAATAATAAAAAAAAAATTAGCAAACAATAAATAGCCAAAAGGTGGTTATTAGCATAATGTATAAAGGTAAAGTTGGTTTTATTTTAGCAGATTCAGACTTCCCCCTTAATAATATAATTTCATAAAAGTATTATTTGCAACTCTAAATAGCGAAATCATATTAGCAGCCAATGACTATCAAAGTACAACATGCTCAAGGTCAAATAAACAATGTTAATGTTGATTTCAAGTCATACTGGCATGCTAATTCTGATCGAATATTCAAAGTAACATGGTAAACAGTATAGAGACTTCTAAATGAACGAATGTGCGAATATAAAACCAACTTTACCTCTATGCATATTGTATAGATTTACGTTAACGTTATTAAAGGTTACGTCGCGAAGTTATTTTCTCAAACTAACGATATAAGTTACTCTAAACCAGAGAAAAATAAGTTCACAACAGCTAATATATATAGTATAAATCAATATAAGTTAAACGTTGCACGTTAAAATGAGTTTGAGTCCAATTCGGTGTAAACTTAGCCCAGTTTAGCTAACGTTACCATTTTAGGATCGCTTCATTCAATGTCGCCGGGCAAACAAATGCTAACCAAGTTATAGAGGTGCTCAAATCAATGTCGAGTGTTGTCAGCACAGACAGACGCGCTTTTACCTGGATTATTTGTTGGTCTTTCATTCATATTCTTCTGGGGGAAAATACTCTCTGCCGGACCGTTGTCTCGTGCTAAGTGTCCTCCAAAACTGTCTGCATACCTCTGGTTCCCTCCTAAACCAAAACCCGCTGCAACACCGGTTCCTATGTAAAAAAATAAAAAGATATGACGAGAACACTAGCTAATAGTCATAAACAGTCTTATTTAAAGTAATAGTAGTGTTAATGTAATAAATTAAATAAAGGTAACATCTTAATAGATGATATATTTCTCAAATGGGCAAAATAACTCCAAGCCAGAGAAAATAATATTAGCCAACTTTATACATTACTTTGATCTATTCTCGTCCACAAAACATTCTGTAAAATGAAACACTGCCTCAGCTTACCAGAGTAAAGTTTGTTAAATCCAGCATGTTCGTCAGGCACGCTAATAAATTGTCCTCCAGAATTGCTCCAGGTTCCTCAGGCAAAATGTGGTGCAGAGTAGTCGAATTGCCGCAAGGTGGCGTCGAAGCAGTTGTGGAAAATACAGTATAATACACAAATTTTTACAAATACAGTACATCGCTGTATATGTTGTTCGACGTCACACTGAATTCCCATAATGCAACGGTAAATACAGTTATTTACTGTAAAAGGAATTTGCAGTATTATACTGGGTGAAATACAGTAAATAACTGTGTAATTTACAGAAATGTCTAACAGTGTAGCTATTTTAGGCTAACAACAAAGTTTTGAGTTCTAAAACTTCAAGTAAAGTAGTGGAGTAAAAGTACTGGTACTGCACTAAAATGTACTTAAGGGAAAGTAAAAGCACACATTTTTAAAAATTATTTAGTGAATTACAGTTCCTGAGAAAAACTAATCAATTACAGTAATTTGAGTATTGTAAGTAGTTACTTTACACCGTTGGGACAGAGTAAGAACTTTACCAACGACTACATGCACTGCTGAAAGACTTTTTTTCCCCCTGCTGCGCATCGAATAAAGACACGCTTAGCATCATCGATGTCCACAATCCACAACAACATCGCTATATCCATGGAACACGAACTTTCAGACTCTTTGAATAACAAGGAAATAGTTTCACTTTTTAATTCAAAGCCCAGACGGCTTGTTAATTTAATACTGGCTACCACCTGAAGGACGGTTACGGTGGGCTATAATGTCGGCCATTCAAAAGTCTACGGTTAAAACTTTTTCTTTATTTTTTTGGACTTTGCTTGAAAGCTTTACGGAGTGGCACTGTAGCTGTCCAAGGTACTGTTGTATGGTTTATATTAAAGCCTATATATGCACCAAAAAACAAAAACAAAAAACAAGTGAAATAAATGAATGAATAAAAAATAAAGATTCTTAAATGTCTGTGTTGCTTTTACTCAAAAATATCAATACGTTTTGACAAACATTTTAAAAAAATAAAATGAGCAATTTTCATAATTTCAGCTATAGGCCATTATATGATTCAGTTATACACAAGTTTGACATGTATGGGGGCATGTAACATGTTTCTGTGTTTTTGTTTTTTGTTCTCGGTGATCTTTGATATATACTGGGTAGCTACACAAAAATAAGATTTTCTAAAATGTCAAGCAAGAATTTGTTTATAGCTTGCTAGTTAATTATTAAGACAAAAAAAAATTAAAATACCAAAAATAAAATGATAACAATACAAAGATAAAAGAGAAGCATTTTGCTAAATATAATAGTCCTTTAAATGCTTTATATCCTGTTGTTTCTTATTCGTTTTTATTTAACTTGATGCATTTGTTAATGTTTGAATACTGAAACAAATAACAGCCATCACTTAAAAGGTTATTTTTACCAACAAAATGTAGACTAATATATTTTATATCGTTATCAACTTTTGATATAAAACTGCTGTGTAATTTAATAGATTTTTAAAAATGTAACAATGTAAGTGCAACATTTTTTTATTAGTAAATGTGCCCGCTTACTTTTGACAAGGCCTGTCCAAAAATACATTTCCATACACTATAATACAAATGCACTATTATTGTTACATTATCGTTGTTATCTACAGAGATTTGGAATGGTTCAGCATCAGCACAAAGTACGATTCAGCACGATAGTGGAAAAGCGGCTAATGTTTGAGAGCCGGACGGGAAGTTTGTTTGCATGTGTGCATGTTTTTTTCTCAAACTGATGGCAGCCATGACATGGAGATCACTCGGCAGTGAAAGTGAAACTGAAAGAGCGCACATCATTTAAATGATCATATCACATTTTAGAGTTATGATTACGACAAGCATTTGATATGTTTTTCTTTCATAGCGAACACAAAGTGTTGTGCATGAAAATAAATGTTTAACAGTGTATAACTACTCGAGCCTATACAATGGTTAATATAATTCTAGAGGGAATTTGATGACAAATGCCTGATTGTACCAGTAAAAAAAGGTTGTAATAATAATGTTGTCAGTGCCAGATTGTAAGCATATGTCTCAAACATATTAATTCAACTTTAGATTTATGAATAGTAATATTCCGATGTAATCACTTTACTGTGCATTAACAGCCAGAACAGCCAGGATATAAGGTCTATACAAAATTTATCATTCAAACCAACAGTAGACCTACACATAGACCTAATGATATTGATGTTGTTTTACTATATGTTTGAGAATAACAATAATAGTAGCCTACTCGTATTAACCTTTATTTTACATCTAAAGAATCATAAGGAAATTGTGATCTTGATTTTAAGCAAAAAAAAAAAAAAAACATTATTCTCATTTTTGACAGAATCGTGCAGCTCTAGTATGACATCACATTTGTGCAATGTGATTTATCTTACTTGTGTATATGTGCAGTTTTCTCATTGGACACTATGGGCGAGGATGACACTGAGAGCATGCTGATGATGGAGGTGGCGGAGGAGCCTGAACCTGTTCCAGGACCCCAGGGGCAGGACATCGGCGCCCCTACAGCACCACCCAAAAAGGCTCCACCCAACTTTAACCAGGGACTAAAGAAAAAGAAACGCCAAAGCAACAAATCCCCCCTGTCCGACAAAGCCCAGGACCTCCAGGTTTGTTTTTATGTACATGTATAAATCTTAGTATGAATCCACAATTTGCTTTGTCTTGAATATATTTCTGTAGACGCCTGGAAATATTCCTCTTTTTTTATCAAATAACAATGTTTTGTGTCTGTGTGGCTCAACCAAATGCTGTCATGACTTATGTATACATCTAAACATTGCAATATGGTTTCATATTGCTTGTTTTAGACTTGGCTCTCTGCTTAAAGGAATCACATGATAAATACTGTCTATTCCAGTAGTTTAAAGGGATAGTTCACACAGAAATGAAAATTCTCTCATTATTCATTCAATCTCAACCTATTTAAGTTTATTTCTACTGTTGAACACAAAAGAATATGTTTTGAACAAGCAGACAGTAAGGTATGTTAACATGTACACCAATACTTTGATTTTAATACGACTTAGATAATACTCTGATTAAGAGTTGATCATGTAAACACTGATGTTCGATTACTTTAATCTGACTAAAATCATAATTGAACTAAGCAGAAATCAAATTAAGACGTGGAGATGTGGAGTATATTCCTATTTTAGTCGCATTATTGAAGTGCAGTACAGACATGTAAACACCTTAATCAAACTATTACCATTTTGTAGTACTTTCCACTACATGTTGCGATGGAGGCACACACGTTTGGTGACAAACAAATGAGAATGGCTATATTTTTGGAGCCAGAATTCTGGATGAAATTGACATTATGAAGCACCTCTGAGTTTGTTGAATGAAAACTTAGTAAATGAAATGTCAGAGGTGGCCTGTTGCTTGAGAATATGTATCCGCCATTGTGTTTGCATGCACAGTGTGACAAGTTCAGTAGAACTTGTTGCAAATGAAATGCCAGAAATCATACATGGTTCCATATGAATGCCTCGTGGTTCCATCCCAAAGAGGGAAGAAATCACGTTCGCGAACGCTCACGCTCAATCTGCCCAGTTGGTGGAATGAACTCCCTAACTGCATCAGAACAGCAGAGTCACTCACTATTTTCAAGAAACGACTAAAAACTCAACTATTTAGTCTCCACTTCACTTCCTAATTTGCTATTGCCTCTCTGAATAACACACTAACTGTACAAAAAAAAAAAAAAATCTAATACTACTAATACTTCCCTTCTTAGACTTTACAGACCTGAAACTTGCCTATGGCACTTATTCATTGTTGCTCTTAGTTGTGTAAATTGCTTCCTTGTCCTCATTTGTAAGTCGCTTTGGATAAAAGCGTCTGCTAAATGTAAATGTAAATGGAACACAAACAGGTTTTGTGTGAAACGGCCAAGGAAACTAGCATCAAATTGTGATGTAGTGACATTAATCAAACTATGTACTATGACATAGGGAACATGAAAGGAGCATTCAAAAAGCAACTTATGTAAACATCTTAATTAAATTATTGTCTTATTTAGCATAAGGCATTATAATTAGATTACTGATTTCCATGTAAATGTCATTGACTTTCATAGTTTTTTTTCCATTCCTAATATGTCAATGGCTGTTAATATTTCTCAGAATGTCTTGTTTTGTGTTCAACAGAAGAAAGAAATGTAAAAAAGTTTATAACCGCTTGAGTAAATTCATTTGAGTCTACTGTCTGCATTGTTTTTACTTGTCAAACTCAGTTCTTACCTATAGGTATCAAACAACCTTGATTGTCACAATTAGTTTGAGCACGTGTGTTTAATTAAAGTTAGAGCTAAACTGTGTAGAGCTGCCTCCCTCCAAGAACTGAGTTTGAAACCCTTAATACTTCTGCTTTGAAAACAGTGCCATCTTGCGGTAATAGAAAGTGCTGTGCAATATCAAAAATTTATTTTGGCATTCAACTTGTTTATTTGCTCTAGACAAGACAATCTATTGAGTGTGTTAATAAAACAAACATGTACGTGTTAAAATGTTGAACAGAGCCAAGAATAACCCAGAGGTTAAGCTGAAGTGTTTTGACTAGAGCACATATAAAACACATTCATTCATTCATTCATTCATTCATTCATTCATTCATTCATTCATTCATTCATTCATTCAGTCATTGCATATTTGTGTATGTAAATTATTATTATTAGTATTATTATTATTATTATTATTAATACTATTTAATCCACTTTAGTTTTAATTAACTGTTTTCGTACATTTATGTATTTAATTTTTTATTAATATTTATTGTTATATTTTGTTTTACTAGTAATAACTATAGTCTCAGTATAATGTGTTTCCTGCATCTATTCAGTTTTATTGCTCAACAGAAAACAAACAAACTTTGACTTCAGTCTATAGTTAGACATTCATTCATTCATTCATTTTCTTTTTGGCTTAGTCCCTCTGGGGTCACCACAGCAGAATGAACCGTTAACTTATCCAGCACATGTTTTACGCAGCGGATGCCCTCCCAGGTGCAACCCATCACTGGGAAACAGCCATACACTCCCATTCACACACACATACACTACTGACAATTTAGCTTACCCAATTCACCTACACTGCATGTCTTGCATGGACTGTGGGGGAAACCGGAGCACCCGGAGGAAACCCAAACGAACACGGGGAGAACATGCAAACTCCACACGGAAATGCCAACTGACCCAGCCGAGGCTTAAACCAGTGACCTTCTTGCTGTGAGGTGACTGCGCTACCCCTGCGCCACCGTGCCACCATAGTTAGACATAATAATACATACAGTACCTATCGAAAGAATTCAAAGTAAACTAATGCTTAATTAGGCAGATTTCAGCATTTTGTTTTATTATTAACATTAGTATAAAACCAAGTAACAGCTGTAATCATAACTTCAAAGTGATTTAATAATTTTATATAAATAAAATAATAAAATAAAGTTATATAATTTTATCGCTGGCTCAAGCCTCGGTTGGGTCAGTTGGCATTTCTGTATTGAGTTTGTATGTTCTCCCCGTGTTGGCGTGGGTTTCTTCCGGGTGCTCTGGTTTCCCCACAAGTCCAAAGACATGCAGTATAGGTGAATTGGGTAAGCTAAATTGTGCCATCCATAGTGTATGTATGTGTGTATGGGTTTCCCAGTGATGGGTTGCGGCTGGAAGGGCATCCGCTACATAAAACATATGCTGGATAAGGTGGTGGTTCATTCCGTTCTGGCAATCCCAGATTAATAAAGGGACTAAGCTGTAAAAAAAAATGAACTAATATAATTTTATTTCTGAAAAAAGGTCAGTGCTTAATATTAGTTATATTATTTTTACTTTTGTATCATAAACTATTTTGATATGTGCTAGATTTCCATTTAATGTGAAAGCAGTAATGTAAAAATAATTTGGGAACCATTGATTTAGACATTTAACAGATGCATTCATCTAACAATGAGTTTAAAAATACTTAATTATAAGTCTAGAAGCATGAATTAAATGTATGTTCATTTTAGGTTCGGCTGCGCATCATTGAAGGAAGGCAGCTTCCTGGTGTCAACATCAAACCAGTCGTCAAAGTCACAGTTGGAGGACAGACGAAGAGAACCCGCATTAAAAAGGGCAATAATCCATTTTTTGATGAGGTAGCCTTTTTCCGACTTGTGGAAAAAATATTCAATAATTTTGAAAAAAGCTTATTAATTGTGTTTTACTTCCAGACCTTTTTTCTAAACTTCTTTGAGAAACCTTCAGATCTTTTTGATGAGCCAATATTCATAACCGTAAGTTATATTATTATTATTATTTCTATTAATGCTTTTGTTGTTGTTTACCTTTGTTGTTACCTTGTCTATGTGCTTTTTTAGGTATTTGATTCCAAGTCACTACGGAAAGACTCTGTCATTGGAGAATTCAAGGTAGACTTGCTTTTATTCTTTGTTATTTTTCTTCTTCCCTCTATCCTTTTATTTTCTTAATCGCTGTCTTCATTTGGTGGTTTCTTCTCATTTCCAGGACTTCTTTATTTTTATTTTTTTACTGGCCACATTTTTTCGTCTGATCTCTGTTTCAGCACACATGTGTCTGTTATTTCAGGCTTTGCTCATAATACTGCTGATTTTGTGTCTTTGTTTTGTCTTTCAGCTGGATGTTGGCATGGTTTATAATGAACACCGTAAGTTATAGTCCATTATGACCACATAGTATGGCAAGCCAATTTTACTTTTATTCTATAAAACCTTAGTATATACTGTATGTTTATGGTGCTAGAACCTATTTTCAGTATTAGCACATTTTCCATTAAAAACCTATTATTTGGATGCTAGTGTTTTTTCTTTGGTTACTAGTACATTATAAAATACTAATACTTGTCCATTAGATATTAGTATTTATATATTTATATTTGTAATTAGATAGATGTATTTATTATTTACTTTATTATTTAATTCATTCATTCAATTTCTTTTTCGGCAACGTCCCTTTAGTAATCAGGGGTCACCACAGCGGAATGAACCACCAACTTATGCGGGATATGTTTTATGCAGCGAATGCGCTTCTAGCTGCAATCTATTACTGGGAAACACTCATACACTCTCATTCACACACATACACTACAGCTTTATGGCTCAATGATTAGCACTGTCGTCTCACAGCAAGAAGGTCGCTAGTCTTGGCTGGTTCAGTTGGCATTTCTGTGTGGAGTTTGCATGTTCTCACTGTGTTCGCATTGGTTTCCCCCCCAGGGCAAAGACATTCACTAAATATACGCTATATATAAGCGCTATAAGTGAATTGAATAATCCCTTCATCCTCAGCTTAAAACACATGCCAGAAAAGTTGTCGGTTCATTCCACTGTGGCTGATAAATTAGGGACTAAGCCAAAGAAAAATGAATGAATGAATGACTTATTGTAACATATATCAGTATCTAACAATAGTTAATAGTAGCATTGCATTAAATACAGTACTAGTACAGTTTATAGATTAAATGTGAATTGGCTTGCCATACACATGTTCAAAATGTGATGTAAAGAACTGTTTCAAAAACACCAATTTGATTGTGTCTCAGAAGAAACAAACATCTGGATTTGGACACTGTTTTGAATATAACATGTCTGTTTTGAGGATTCAATTGCATTTGTTGCCTTTAAAACTGAAGCTAAAAGCCCCCCAGTGTTTTTAAAATCAGCGCTGTCTTTTCTAATCTGAACAGGACATGCTATTCTCAGAAAATGGTTGTTGCTGGCAGACCCTGATGATCTTTCTGCAGGGGCCAGAGGTTATTTGAAGGTCAGCATGTTTGTGCTGGCCGCAGGAGATGAACCTCCGGTAAGTGATAAGGAGATATATATCAGATTGTTAATGAACTGAGACTTCAATGAACTGCAAAGTGATCTTTACAATGCAATCTGTGTTTTAGATGGATAAGAAAGAGGGTGTGGAGGAAAAGGAGGACATAGAGGCCAATCTGTTGAGACCAGCTGGTCTAACCCTGAGAGGAGCCACGTTCACTCTGAGAGTCTACAGAGCAGAAGACCTTCCTCAGAGTGAGTGTCAAACACCACTGGTTGTGTTTCTGCTTGCATCTGTTAATCTGCTCTTCTCTTTGGACAGTGGATGATGCTCTTATTGACGATGTCAAACATTTCCTTGGCTTTGACACTAATCGAAAGAACCTGGTGGATCCATTGGTGGAGGTCAACTTTGCAGGAAAAACGGTAGTTTTGTCTTTGCGAATATAGTTAAACTGTGGGTGTTAACCATAAAAGCTGAAATCTAATGGCCCTGACACACAGTCAGTAATCATGTAGTGGAATTGATGGATAGTGTTAAAGAATTTTCTACTGATTCTGATTTTAACAAATGGTTTAAATTATATTTTTCGTATAAAGTTTAATGCAACTTTATTAGCCCTTCTCTAAATTTTTAATTATTTAAAATAAATCCCAAGTGCTTTTTAATCACATTTTTAAGCAACCAAAATAGAAATGTGCACACATCTGAGACTTTCGATGGCAGGTGCTTGATCAAAACAAACACAGTGGAAAAAGTACAAAGAAAATCAGCACACTACCACTTTACCTCTCAAAAAAGGATTTATTGTAACAACGTTTTGACCTACATGGTCTTCTAAACAAGACAACTGGAGAACTCAAGAAATTGTCAAGCTCTACAGCTCACTCCTGCAAACAATAATCACACCAATCAACCAAAGAGCCAGGTAGACTTCCATTGCAGAGGAAAGCATTTTACATTTACACATTGTGCATTACATTTACACAATTCTTCGTCTCTGAGGGGTTTAAATTTGGAATTTGTTTCGAAATCTTTTTTGTAATTGTATATTTATGTATATGTCTTATATTTACATGTGTATTCTGTTGTGGTTTTTATTGTTTTTTGTATTTTTTTGTTTTGTTTACTGGCTTGTTGGTTGATTGGTGTGATTATTGTTTGCAGATGTGAGGTGTAGAGCTTGACTATTTCTTGAATTCTCCTGTTTTCTTGTTAAAAGTGGCAGTGTGCAGATTTTCTTTTTTACTAATGCCACATTTTTAAATACCATAGTTTTAATAAATAATTTGTAATAACCAATTTCTTTTGTTTATGCCACAATAACAGTACATAACGTTATTATTAGTTTTTCTGCAATATACTAGTATTCAACTGACAATTAAGTTGAATATTATTAAATTTAATTTGTTTATTTCAATTCAGCCCATAGAAATTGTTTGCAACCACTTACTTTTAAAAAATGAAGTAAATCCAATGAATAATTTTCTTCCAGAATTAGGTTTCCTGTAGGTAAGGTAGTTGTCTTTGGACAACTGTGGTTTGTTTTTTATCACACAAAGCTTTAGGCTAATAATATTGACCTTATCGTTATTTTCGAGAATTTTAAAACTGCTTTTATTCAATTCAGATTATAAGAAGTAAGACTTTCTTGAGAAGAAATAACATTACAGGAAATACTGAACATTTGTGAAAATTTCCTTGCACTTGGGAAAAATTTGACAATTACAATTTCACATGAGAGATAATAATCAGACACATTTTAAAGTATATATTATTTTTTTAATATTTTTAAAATACTCTATTGTTTTATATGTCAAATTTCACAGAGTTAAAAGGTTGCTCAAAGCATAGTGATATAATGGATATATATTTTTTTATATCTTTAGATAAGTAGTAAGATTCTGGAGAAATGCGCTAACCCTCAGTGGAACCAGTGCCTCACTCTGCCCATCAGGGTAAAGAACATACTGTACACTCACAGAACAGAACAACTTACTGTAACAAGTCCTTCATCACATTTACTGACAGTCTGTTTTTCTTGCTCCAGTTTCCATCCATGTGTGAAAAGATGAGAATACGTATTTTAGATTGGTGAGATAAAGTTGTTTCCATGTCTTTGATACAGTATGAACTGCTTTATTTCTGATGTAAGAGTATTAACTTGAATAATTTCCCATTGTCATTTTCTTAGGGATCGTGCGAGTCATAATGATGTCATTGGCACTGCACACTTATGCATGTCTAAAATCTCAGCCCCTGGAGGAGATATTGAAGGTACGGTGTCTTTTGAAATGCACACAAAATATGCAGTTTGTTGTTAAAACAGCTGTTGTTAAATATTAGTGCAAATCTACAGGACTCCACATTTGAATCGACTGATTTACACATATTGTTTTAGTGCTTCTCAACTTGTTTGACTCTAAGGCCACAATTTACAACATTAGTTTTCAAGATTTATTTTTCTTTTATTAAATAAATTATGGTGACGTGGTGGCGCAATAGGTAGTGCTGTCGCCTCACAGCAAGAAGGTCGCTGGTTCGAGCCTCGGCTGGGTCAGTTGGCGTTTCTGTGTGGAGTTTGCAAGTTCTTCCACAGTCCAAAAACATGTGGTACAGGTGAATTTGTGTAGGCTAAATTGTCCATAGTGTATGAGTGTGAATGAGATTGTATGGATGTTTCCCAGAGATGGGTTGCAGCTGAAAGGGCATCCGCTGCTTAAAACATTTACTGGATAAGTTGGTGATTAATAAAGGGACTAAGCCGAAAAGAAAATGAATGAATGAATAAACTAAATGGTTGAGAACCACTGAACTATATTTTTTAAAGATGAAGTGTGTTAACCTTCCAATATTAAAAACATCAGACATTATTGTTGAATAATGGTACTCTAAATATTGTCAGTTTGTTAGTAAAAAGTTTTATTGGTCTTTTTCAAGCTAATTTCTTAACTTTTTTACACTTCATTTAATTTATTACTGTAATTCATTTGTGGTCACTGCCTAATTAGCTAGTATAGGTAAAAGTACACAGAAAGCATCAAAAGAAAACATTGCTCACCTTTAAGTGCATCTTCCATGCTGAAAAACATCACAGTTTAGTAATGTTCTTGTGTGGATGGGAAAAAGCATACTTGTTGTTTGCTTGCTGATTTGAAGTCTTCATTTTGTCATCATACGAGTTAGGTGTGAATTGAAACCTGAGAATGAAATTAACACTGCATTTTGGAGAATGTTTTGTAAACATTAGCATCCATGATATTGGCATGGTGGTTAGACAGGTAAATTTTTTAATGTGGCTTTGGTTGATATAAATGAAGTGGTACATTTGAAAAAAATATATAATTAAAAAAAGCGATTGTAGAAAATTTCAGTGTTCTTGTAATTGCTTTGAGAACCTTAGCAGCTGGTTGTTGCTTCCACCATAGTTTGTGAGCTGTCTAACAAATCTAACAATGTCTGCTAGAGCTTTTTCCATGTTGAAAATTTTAGAATAGATCAATTTCTCCTTTTTTGGTGTTGTGATTAATACGTGCATGTCACATGCATGGGTCGGGATGTTTAGCATCAGCTGTCATTCACTTCTATTATACTTATTTTCTTAAAATATTTATTTCTCTACGCATTCAGATGAGTTTCCTGCCAGGACCCTCCACGACACTAGTATGTGTGTCTCTCTGATCTCAAATTTGTGTGCAGTAGAGTAGATGATCAGTAGATTTGTCCTTACGTTGGGTTGCAGAGCTTGAAGTTTATTAGTTGCCTAAAGGTTAATTAAACTGGTCTTTAGATAAAGATTTTACTGAATATTTTTTCACAGAATTTTTAACACTGATCTAGATCACATATATATATATATATATATATATATATATATAACCATGTGGTCAGCAATCATGTGTTCATTTGTTTTAATGTAGAATTTTGTATATATAATGTATAATTGTGCCTAATTTTTGTTCTTCTCCTTTCTATATTGTTAAGTGGATGACAGTATAGGCTTTCTTCCGACCTTTGGACCCTGCTTTGTCAACATGTATGGGAGTCCTCGAGAGTTCACAGCTTTCTCAGACCCACACGAGGCACTAAACCTGGGAAAGGTGATATTTAGTTGATTTTTTACATTTTTTTTTTAAATATGCAAGGTTATCAGGCAATTTCTTAGAGTAAACATGTATTTGTCTTCATATTTTAAAATGTTTCTAAACATCAAAATAGTTTCACTACATTAGTATTAAAACAATTTTGTATTACTAAATAGTTACACCACTTTATTTAGTTTTTAGTATATAACCCCTTCTGTGTTATGGATATTTAAACATGTTTGTATAAACATGTAATTTATTTTATGCTAAACATCAAATTATTTCACCACTTTGCACCATTATTTTGACCTTTATATCTTGACTTTTTTTGTAGAAACATATTTTTTCAATTTTCTAAACATAAACAGTTTCACAATGTTTAAGTGTCTAAATCAATGCTGATACGGAGGTAAAATATTTTTAACTTGCTAAAACATAACCATTGTGTAATAGCAATTTCATAAATTTGGTAGCATTGTATTAAAACGTATTATAAAACATTCTAACAACATGCTATTAATATGCTAAAACAGGCTAGCAGCATTTTAAAACATGTTAACAAAGTTCAACAATAGGCTAGCATTACCAGTGTGTAATAAGATGTTAGTAATGTACCAAGACACATTGTTAATGTTTATAAATGTTATGCTATCAATATGCTTAAACAGACTAGCAGCATTTTAAAACATGGTAACCCAGCTCTACAATATGCTAGCATTACCATTGTGTTCTAACATGTTAGTAGCATGCTAAAACATGTCAGCACCATGTTAATATTTTTAAATGTTATGCTATCAATATGCTAAAACATGCTAGCAGCATTTTAAAGCATGTTAACAAAGTTCTACAATATGCTAGCATTGCCAATATGTAATAACATGTTAGTAATGTGCTAAATGCCAGCACCATGGTAATGTTTATAAATGTTATGTTATTAATGTAGTAAAAACAGACAAGTAACTGCTAACGACTGCTGACTACTAAACATGCTAACAACATGTTACAACAAACATTAAAGCTTTTTAAACTGTACTTTATCAAACTTTAACTACTTCCAACTAAACTACTTCAAAGCAAACATCTTTAAACATTTTCTTCAAACTTTCTAGGCTTTCTTGACCTGATATAAAGGTTTGCCTTGACCGACCTTTAGTCTTGATTAGTTTGTTAATGTTTTGTAACCTTTTTCAAATATTCATTCATTCATTCATTCATTCATTTTCTTGTCGGCTTAGTCCCTTTATTAATCCGGGCTTGCCACAGCGGAATGAACCGCCAACTTATCCAGCAAGTTTTTACGCAGCGGATACCCTTCCAGCTGCAACCCATCTCTGGGAAACATCCACACACACATTCACACACACACTCATACACTACGGACAATTTAGCCTACCCAATTCACCTGTACCGCATGTCTTTGGACTGTGGGGGAAACCGGAGCACCCGGAGGAAACCCACGCGAACTCAGGGAGAACATGCAAACTCCACACAGAAATGCCAACTGAGCCAAGGCTCGAACCAGCGACCTAGCGACCTTCTTGCTGTGAGGCGACAGCACTACATACTGCGCCACTGCATCGCCCTTTTTCAAATATAATGTTAAATTAAAATGTAACTTGGAATGACTTGACAAGCATTCCTCATGCTCCACTATTTGAAGTGTGGCAGCTCTTGCTGTATTGCTAACTATTATTTAAAAAAAAAAAAAAATTTTACAATCGGCTCATAATTTCTTTTTGTATGTGTTTTTCCCCCCTCTTGTTTATAGGGAGAGGGTGTGGCCTATCGGGGACGTGTGTTGTTGGAGCTCATAACAAAGCTTTCTGATCAGGTGGACCAAAGGTCTGAAGACATCAACTCTGATGACCTGCTAGTGGTAGAAGTGAGATCACAGTTACTGTTGTTGGATTGAACATTAGATCATGCGCTTCAGAATGCATAATTCAAAAGACGTCATGTACACCTCTGTTATGCTGTGATACAGAAATTCATGCGGAAGAGGAAGTTTTCCCTGTTTGCTGCGTTCTACTCGGCCACTCTCCTTCAAGATGTGGACGATGCAGTTCAGTTTGAAGTCAGTATCGGTAACTACGGCAACAAGTTCGACAACACCTGTTTGCCTCTGGCATCCACCACTCAATTCAGCAGAGCTGTGTTCGACGGTGAGATAATACCACATGTAATATACTTTAGAATGTTAAGATTTTGTTAAAAAATTGCACACATTTTGGAATGTTATTGGTAAAATATTATACTCTTTTAATTCAAAGAGTAATCTTAATTGGTTCTGCATTTTACAGAAACATGAAATCACGGTCCTTTGTGATTTATAAAATGCTAATCAGTGGCTTTATGCACTTTTTTTTCAATCTTTTTGTTGGTGTTTTGACAAATCAAATTAAATATTGAGAGAGGTGAATAGTAATATGTTGTTCATTGTTAATCCTTTCCCCAATTTTCCTCGTTCATTAAGTCAATTAACAAAACTTAATACATAAAAATTAAATACATTTGATGCACTTAATCATAACTTCAGAGAATAACTGCATACAGATGAAAAAAAATTACATAATAATTAATTAATTAATAAAAACTCCCCTCTAACAAAATGACAAATGTTATAAGTTTTATTTAATTTGTAGTCCGGAAGGGGATTCCAAGTCTTCTAAAAGGAATTGAGTGAGCTGAAGAGTAAGTATCTTACTTTGTGCACTTGTAGAGTCACTTTGGGAGTTATCAGTTGCCCCTGATGATATATTGAGGTCTAATTAAGTAGTGACCAGTCTGTACAAAAACTGAATGTTATTTATGACATTATCACCTTTTTGTCCTCTGAAAATGGTCCTCAGCTTTTTTGTGACATCAGCTGTTTCCATCCAAATATGCAAATTAATTTAAAATTTAAATTACATATAAAAGATGTGCACATAAAGCAGCTTTCCATTCAATGAGTCAAAGAGAACAAAATCGTCACTTTTGGATAAACTGGCACCAAATATCAACAGTAAAAATGGAATTTCCTGTCGTCAATTTTTTCTTCATTTAATAAATGACTTGCGCCTCAGAAGACCATCCTGACATGCAGTGAACACGCCGTGGCGTTTGAAGGTGTGAGATGCAGAGCACAGAAACTGTTGATTCTTGAGGTCATTAAAAATATAATAACACTATAATATTGAAACGGTTTAAGCGTTTTAGAATGACCAAAACAACATTTCAGATTTGTTTACAGTGTGCTTAGTCTGCTGGTTTGTCCATTCACACACATCTTGATCATCACATGATCTCTTATAACAAAATCACATGACTTGTTTCAATGCACATACTGGAATTTGTTTGAGAAAAGTGATTTTTTTAGTGCATATCAGAATGCGCATAAAATAGGTAGATGGATACGTAGCTAGTGTGTAAAACAATGATGTCAGATAACACTGTACTGTATGTGCAAGCAGGACTTACAACCTGTATATTAAGGATAATAATAATGTTGCAAATAACATTCATTTGTATGCATCTTATATGGTTATTAAGGCTGCCATTACTATTACCTGCCATGGGGAAATGTGAAACCTGTGGTGGTGGTGTCTTCAGAGTGGGAAGACATTGGCCCTCGTATAGAGGCCCTCAACATGCTGCTTAGCATAGTCGACCGACTGGTGAGAAACATTAATTCAGTTAATACATTAAGGTATGTTATAAGGGACTCAGTTTTACATGTACTTCTTAATACTGTTTTTCTCTTAATAATAGGAGTCAAACTTGGAACAGGTACAGCTGGAGCTCAAAGCAAGAAGTGACGATCAGGAAGTCGAGCAGAGGGTTGTCCAGCTGCTTGATGATGTCATTGCAGACTGCAGGTGCAGATGTGCTCAGAAGTGTTTACTGAAACTCTACTGCATCTTCTATCTGAGACTACGATGTGCTTTTGTGTGAAGTTGCTTGTCACATGTAACCTTTCATACAGTACATTGCTTTAAATCCGCTCGGTAATAAACAGGAAATAACAGAACCAATTATGCAAACGACATCAAATTTGAGACAGATCTAGATTTAGCTGTAAAATGCATTTATAAAACAATAGACTCTTTATTTGGCCTATATAAGTTCAGTGTCGACCCTGTTTGTTTAAACAAAGTTGTATATAAATATATGTATATAGGGACGAGATAATATAAAGGGATAGTTAATATAAAGGGATAGTTTATTTATAAATGATTATTATTCTGTCATCATTTACTCTCCACTTGTTCAAAGCTTATTTGAGTTTCATTCTTTTGTTCAATGCAAAATAAGATATTTTGAAAATGCTTTTAGATAACATTGCACATCAATGGTTTAAGATCATTTGCAACTTTCATGATGATGCAAATGATGACACAGTTTGTGATTAACCCACAGTTAACGTGTACAAAATCATTGGGCTTGGTTGAAACCAATCAGTCACAGAACAGCTGTAATTCATTACATATTATTATTATTATTATTATTATTATTATTAGACTAGTTAGTACAGTGCATAATCGTACTAAATATTAACCCTTGTGTACTGTTCAAATTGACCACCCTTTCATTATGTTGGTGTCTGGTTTTGCCCTATTGACTTCCATTATAATGACATTTTTTGATTGCAAAGCCATGACAGCATTTTATCATGCATTCTCGGTTTTTGGTGATTTTTCCCTGTTGGAAAGAGATAAAATGTGTCATTTTTACTCTTGATCATCAGTTGGCAGCATTAGCCCTTTGGATAGGCTTGCGCAAAAAAAAGTTTTGGCTTTTATATGAAGCTCTATGGAGTAAAACAGCAGATTATAGTGTTTGTTCATACTGTAAATACACTTACAATGCTTACTATGTTCTGAGAGCTGAGCTGCTTATTTTGATTTTCTCAGACATATCAAGATAAGTGCACAAAGATCTCTTTATTTTTCTCTCTCTCTCTCACAAACTCTCTCTCTCTCACACACACACACACACACACACACACACACACACACACACACACACACACACTCAAAAATGCTTCTTCCCAACAGGGAAAAACAGCAACAATGAATAATGCATTTTTATATGGTGTCATGGCTTTGCAGTCAATAAATGTCATTGTAATTAAAGTCCATTGGGCAAAAACATCCACAAACATAACAAAAGGGTAGTAAATTTACTCAATTTTCAAAGCAATTTTCTAAAATTTGTGTCAAAATAAGATTTGTCACCAAAATCACTATATTTGCTGAAACACAGAGATCGTTGTGGCTAAATTAAGACTTAAAATCACACCAGAGTAGATAAAAACATCCCCATCAATACACAAGGCTTAAGCGTTTTGAGTCTCAAAAGTTTTATTTTATTTAGATTTTTTAATTTTCGATTCTTCTTCTTATGTCCTATCTGTAGTGAGGAACTCCCTGAGTTGGACAAATGGCCTTGTGTGACTCCACTGGATAAAGCTCTGAGGAATCTGCGCAAGATTAACATGCAGCAGATAGTGCAGGCGGCCCTGGCACTCAAACATGGACCAGAGACTGAACTGAGTGCAGTGCTGGAGCAGGCTGAGGACTGGACCATGAGACTACGCTACCTCTCTGAGGAGGTGAATGACATGTGGCTTGAATGTCTTAACTCTGTGCTGCTTTCACCTGCTTCAAATAATCGTGAAAAGCTGAAAATCTTTTCTTTCTTCCAGCCCCAAAACAGTCTGCCAGATATAATAATCTGGATGCTTCAGGGAGACAGACGAGTGGCCTACCACAGAATCCCTGCCCATCAAGTTCTCTTTTCCTATGGTTACTGTGGCAAGCACTGTGGCCAACTTCAGACGGTTTTCATGAAGGTAAACAGACTCTTTGGAGGCAAAACACACACCGATGCTACAGTGGAAATGAGGAATGGAACCACTTTAGTACTGATAAATCTTTCTATCTCTCTGTGTAATATTGTGCTCAGTGTCCACAGGAAGATGGGGGATGTAGTAAAATCCCAGCTCAGCTCAGAATCAAGGTGTGGTTCGGACTGACTGCGGATGTCAAATCTTTTAACCAGTTTGCAGAGGGCAAACTCTCAGTGTTTGCAGAAACGGTGAGTGTGTAGTTATGCTGTTATTCAAGTTTAAAAAAAGAAAAAAAATATTCTTATGTTGGATTTAGTGTTAGATATTTATAAAAATATGATATAGTTTTAGTCAAGAGTGCCCTTTTCCTCAATATAAGAATGCCGACAGTATATTAAATAATAGTTCAACAAACAAGTTATCATTTATAATGTTTAACATACACTGTTGTCAGTGCCTTATTTTTTTCTGTTTGTCCAATGACTATTTCAAACGCAGTCAGAGTAGTACTGTGCTGTTTCGTTCCCGAATTTATATCTTCAGCTAAAAAAATACTTTTTTAGTTTTTTTTAGTTTATAAATGGACATTTTAAGGGAAGACAAGTTTATCTATATAGCACATTTCAAACACAGTGGCAATTCATATTGTTTTACATAAGCACGAATAAAAAAAAACAAGTATAAGAAAATAAAAACAAATAATAAAAATTTATAAAAACAGAAAAACAAATCAAAATGTGTTAAAACAGGCTATAAAAGAATGAAAAAGAAAAGGAAAACATAATAGTGCAATCTGTTGGACGTAGCACAGTGCTCATTCAGTATAGGCACAGCTAAAACAGATGTGTTTTCAGTCTTGATTTGAACGTGCCTTATGTTGGAGCACATCTGATCATTTCTGGACGCTGATTCCAGCTGCGAGGGGCGTAGTTGCTGAAGGCCGATTCACCCTGCTTTGACTGAACTCTTGGAATTTTTAGTTCATATGATCCTAAAGATCTAAGTGATCTGTTAGGTTTGTATTCAGTGAGCGTATCTGTAATGTATTGAGGTCCTTGGCCATTAAGTGATTTACAGTATAGACCAGGGATGGGCAAACTTGATCCTCGAGGGCCGGTGTCCCTGCAGAGTTTTGTTCCAACACTAGTAAAACACACCTGAAAAAACTAATCAGTGTCTTCAAGATCACTTGAACTCTATAGGGAGGTCTGTTTGAATATGGTTGGAGCTAAACTATGCAGGACACTGGCCCTCCAGGTTTGCCCACACCTGGTATAGACAAGTAATAATACTTTAAAGTCTATTCTGAATGTAACTGGGAGCGAGTGTAAAGACCTGAGGACTGGTGTGATGTGCTTTGATTTTCTTGTTCAGGTCAGAATCCTGGCCGCCATATTCTGGAATCTTACTGTCTTTTTGGAAAGGCCAGTGAGGAGGCCGTTACAGTAATCCACCATGCTGCTGATAAAAGCATGAACAAGTTTCTCTAAGTCTTCACTGGAAACAAAGCATCTAATTCTTGCAATATTTTTGAGAATAATAATAATTATTATTATAGTGTAAATATAGAATAATAATTTAAAATAAATCAATCAATCGACTGAATTAATTATTTGTTGAATCACTCATTAAGATAGCACTCTGGTGAGTTTGGTTGTTTTTATAAGTCATAGATCTCAAACTCAATTCCTGGAGGGCTGCAGCTCTGCAAGGTTTTGCTCCAACCCTAATCAAACATAGCTGATCCAAATAATTAAGGTGTTCAAGACAACTACAGCTTAGTGCAGCATCTGAAATCGCTTACTTCTATACTCTGTAGTACGATACAAACAGTATGTGAGCCAAGTAATATTTCTGAATTCATAGTATTCGAAAGACAGTAAGCAAGAAGTACCCGAATGACCAACTACTTTTGGTGATTTTCTAAAGTGAGCATCCGATGGGCGCTATGCTATCTTATGATGCCACGCGAGAAAATTCATGAATTGAAGTGAATTGACATAACTGACGTGGGTAGGTCACGTGATAATGACAAATGGCGGATGTCCGAGTTCCACTTAGGGCTGTGCAATTTGTGAAAATTTTTACATTTTTTTGTTAACATATTGCATATTTGATTCGCGATTTAATTTTGTTGTCAAGCTTCAGCTTAATATTCTGTATTGTAGCTTCATACTGCTAAAATGCTGTGAGTGTTAGTTAAAAAAAGAAACTGAAAAGATATTAACTAACTCCAACTTTTATTCAAATTTGTTTATAAGTATTCAGAAATGAAATACAATTTTTTTTTCTGTACAGCAAACAGTAGTGAGTTCATTAGTCTATTAATGCTTTTGGAGCGGCAGACTTCATTATCCCACTTTTCCGTGCTTTCCTGTTTGTTTGTTTTATTGTGGGCGTTCTGCATAGTTTGGTTGTGCAATTCTGATTAGGCAGAACAAAAGTGTGCTCACTTTATTGGCTAGTTAGACTGTCACACACAGACAGCAGTCACACATTTGCTCTGGGCAGGGAAAATTAAATAATGCATATTTATTTCATATCACAGCCTCTTGCAATTAGCTAATTGCAACATTTCAAATCGATTTTGATTAATTGCACAGCCCTCCACTCATACTACTCACATCCATACTATATAGAACGGACTTTTCTAACAGTCGTGTAGTAAATTCAATTTCAAATATAGTACTAGTTGAGTAGTGTTCAGTTTTGAATTCAGCATAGAACAGCTAGTTTAGTTGGATCAGCTGTGTGTGATTAGGGTTAGTACAAAACTTTGCAGAGCTATAGCCAGGAATTCAGTTTGAGACCTATATATTAAGTCATCCTAAAAAAAATCTCACTAATATTTTATATTATGTTTGCATCAATATTGCACACTTATGTTAAAGCTATCCTTTTGAGCAAGATTTATTGTCGTTTACAGTATGAGAACCAGACTAAACTGGCTCTGGTGGGGAACTGGGGTACGACGGGTCTGACTTACCCCAAGTTCAGTGATGTGACCGGCAGAGTCAAACTGCCAAAGGAGAGCTTCAAACCCTCTTCAGGCTGGAGCTGGGCAGGAGAATGGTTCATCAGCCCAGAGAAAACGTGAGTACCATCTTATCTTTAGAAGGGACATATGCATCATTAAACACCCTCTGTAACTGCATAACATGAGTTCTCCTCTGTGCGCAGGATGCTGTATGATGCTGATGCAGGTCATATAAGCTTTTTGGAGGAGGTGTTTGAAAATCAGTTGCGGTTGCCAGGAGGACAGTGGATTGGCATGCCGGAGGGGTACACAGATGTGGTCAGTGTGTATTTCAATCATAATTTACTGATGAATCTTCAGTTCTTATGGTTATTAGGTTATTATTTTCATGAGGTGTCGAGGAATAGTAAGTCAAAGGGTATTTTACTTGAAAAAAACAAAAAAACAAATCTGTTTATGTCTCCACTGGGGGGCAGAATGGAGAAAAAGCTGTTCCTAAAGATGAGATCGAGTGTCCCCCTGGCTGGGTGTGGGAGGATATTGAGTGGAGTGAGGATCTGAAGCGTGCAGTGGATGATCAAGGTATGGAAACTGTATCCCATACACGTGAACAACTGACGTTTTGCAGATCTTTTCTATATACAAAATAATGAAAAGCAGAAGAAACGTGAACCATAATAAATCTCCATTTACCTATAGGGTGGGAATATGGAATAACCCTTCCCCCGGACCGCCGACCAAAGTCCTGGGTTCCATCTGAGAAGATGTACCATACCAACCGTCGGAGACGCTGGATCAGACTCCGCCGTAGAGACATGCAGAAAATGGAGGCGCTCAGAAAAGTATGTCATCATCAATCATTAGCAAAGTGTTGCCACTTGGTTTGTTTTCAATTTGAGCTGCATGTTTCATGGCCAGATTTACTAATGACTTGCACCAGCAGCACAAAACCTCATTTGGGGTTACATGTACTAAAGATATGCAGAGAAAACTTTGCATTGAAAAAGGGTAGATGGTGAAATTTGCAGCTGGCCCTTAACAATTGCATATGAATTTTGTTAACGCCAAGGATTGATAGAGTATACTATATAAAACTTTATATACTAGACTGTAAATATAAACCAACAGCAGAATTCAGACCACAGCGTAAACAATAAAGATGCAAAGTGACAATATCATTGGGATCATTTGCAGAATCATATTTACAGCTAAATGATGATAAAACGCCATTAGCCATGAAGAATCCACTGAATTATAAAGGGCTTGCACAACTTAAAGCTACACACAACATTGCGGAGATGCTGAGATTCACCCAGCTTGATGTAAAGACTTTATTTAAAGATTATTTAAAAATAATAACTATCTTGTATACATGAAATGATAATAATGTACATGACATGGAAGCTATGCAAGCAAGGCTAGCAAATTGAAGTATAAAAATATATGCAACTGAAGTAACCAGTGTTAGTTTCTGCGTCTTAGAAAATGCCTTTAAAAAAAGCTTGGGGAAAACTTTTTTTTTATTCCATTTCATTTACTACAATTAGCTAAAATCACTGTTAGATTAGATAGATTACAAAAGCTGGATTCACTGGTCAGACGCACTAGAAAGAAGCAATCTGATGACATCTGCTGGTTACAACAGGTAATGCAAAAAAAGATAACAGTTATCATTTGCTGCTGTGGGCACAAATATTGTTATAATATATATTTATAGGTATCATCCTTGGTGTGAACGGTCCTGAAGAGTTTCAGATACACAATATATGGGAGAGGAGTATTCAAATGAATCATCCAAGGTGTTCACTTAGGGTTTATGCAAGTCAGCTTACTTGTATTTGTATCATTATTTAATGCCCCAATAAGCATGTCCTAACACATTTTACTGCTGTGTTGATAATCGATTACAAAGCTTATTCTTATCGGCTCTGGTTCTTTGCAACCTAATTTGCTCTGCGGTAGAATTCCATTCCAGAAAAATGCAGTAATATACACACTGTAAAAAATATCTGCAAATTGACAGTTTTCCGTATTTTGTAATTCTTGTTTTTTTTCCATTTATTTAGTCTTTTGCAATGGGATATGGGACCTTGATCTTTCCTATAATAGCTTTTGATGTTGAAATTGTCTTTTTTTATATTTTTAATGAATAAATGGACTAAGCCGAAGGAAAATAAATGATATTTTTTAAAGTTTGAAGTGAGATATTGTCTGGGTTGCTGTTGGTGTAAATTACAGAACAAAAAGCTGGTAATAAGCTATCAGTACAATTTCTGTTATTTTGCAAACTTAGTTCTCTATATATTATTTCTTAAAAAAAACTAAAACTTTTCTCTCAAAAAGTGTCAAACTACCAAAATGCCAATGGAAGCCACTCTGTTTAAACTCTTGAGTTAATTATTTTTAACATCAGAAGTGGACCGAGCAAATATAAAACTTCCATTATGCAATTCACATCTGTAAGTAAACAGAAAACACATGAGAATCACAAAATACGGAACATGTTAATTAACAGAATGTTTTTTACAGTGCAGATCCTAATTTCATCCATTGTGTATGATATAAATGACAATGTTTAGATATAAAAAAAACATTATAAATTATGAAACTTTATAAAAAACATTTGTTTCATGTGTCTTAAAATTAAAATGTTCTCAGTATATCTGTACGTACAGTAAAAGTTTACCTAATCATATCGTTTGTTTGATTTACCTGTCAATAATGTCTCATTGTCAGAACAATTTTTTTGTAATAACAGATCATGTAAAATTACATTGTTTGTAATTGTCTTTTCAGAATTATCCTATTATCCTGAGCTCAATAAATAAAAAAAAAACATAGTATATAAAAAACGTCTAGCATCAAATCATGCATCTCTATTTTCAGTCAGAGAAATAGTTTTGTTTTGTATTGAGAGCGACTTATAAACGAAGGATCTTGGCCAAAGCCTCCTTTGGTTCTCCTGGAATTGTGGGGGATTCTGTTAAAGCTCAGGGTGGCGTGCCATAAAAAAGCTCTGTGTAGTCTCAGGAGGTCTTCCCCGTCCCTGAACACATCTGCTGAGGGGCCGATGGAGCTTGAGAGGACACCTAATTAATCATGCCATCTGAGAATAATCTGAAATCAATCCCACACCTCTAATCCACTTGGCAGGGAAAACTCTGGTCCAACTTTAAAGTCCAGCCGCAAATATGCTTAATGTTCATCATCTGTGTGTGAAGGGTGTGTGTGTGAGAGAGAGAGAGTGATAAACAGCCTTTGTCTGCGAAAGGCTTCATCCACATGAGCAAACAAGCATAGTTTCTTAATAAAAGATCAAAAATAAAATTCTTGAGATCTCTGAACAACTGAACAACAGCGTATTTGTTTTTTAGTCATTGAGACATAGGGCTTCATTTATGAAACACGAACAGATGAAATTAGTGTTAAATTGTCAGTAAATACATTCTTACATAAATTGTCACATTCAATTTAATGCGACTGTTTACATAAGAATGGATTTATGAGTGATTTACATGGGTATTTGTTCTGCTCGTGTTTCATGAATGAAGCTCAGTGTGTTTATATTTGCAAAATTTAAGTTGGGTAAATTTGTGTGACAGTGGTTTGGTATAAATGGTGGTTTCAATTATATGATTTACTTCAAATGAGTTTTTTTAAACTATTTGGACAGCTAAATATATAAAAATGTGTTTTACACTGCCATTCAAAAGCTTATGGGACATACTACCAGAAACTTACTTTATCTGTCCCTGAAATAAAAACATAAATACACTGAAAAAAATGGACTGATGGTTGATTTCTGTGAATTGTTCTGTAAATAAATGTGTTCTTTATTTGGTTCTCAGATCTTTTTTTTTTAAAAACACTTTCCAAATTTACAAACCACGTCATTGTCCTTGTCCTCAGCCAAATTAAACCTGCAGCTTTAATAGTTTTGTTATGCTAAAAACTGTTATTTAGAAATTTTTTTAGCAAGTTCAAGTTGATATCATTCACATAAATTGATTAAAAACATTATAAAAATTATTATTAGAATAAATCAATTCCACAAATAAATAATATGACATATTATTGACATTATAACATTATATAATATGAAAACATTTACAATTATCCCCATGTTTCTGTCACATTTGCATTAAATTTAACATAAATGTGTGCAATACAGATTTATGGCTACACTGTAAAACCCAACAGTCAGCTTTAAAAACTGAAATGAGTGTAGTTAACTAAAAATGTACTGAAAGGTTATTCTAGTCATTTGAAAAGAGTATTGAACTCAGTGTTGAAGGTAATGAGTTAATTAAATACTTCATTACTTCAACTTCAATGGAGTAAGATCACAGTACTCATACAGATTAACTTTTTAACTTCAATGGTCTATAGCAATCAGTTTACTCAAACAGTTTGCCTTAGATTATTGGGTTTTGAAGTACTCAGTTTGTTTGAATTCTCTTCATTTATTGGGTATTACTGTGCTCAAATTTCTTTGTTTACTTAAATGGATACACTCAAGTTCACAGTACTCATTAGGATTATTATTTGAACTTAAATAGTTTGTTGCAATCGGTTTCCTTAAATGGTTTGAGTTACCCTAATTTTTTAGGTTTTACAATGTATGACTCGGAAGTGAAATCATTTAATGGATAAGAAGCTGACAGTGATCAAGCATGCGCTCAATCATTATATTGTATGATTTTATGCTTGTTTTGTAGGATTTTTCGAGGATGACAAGCTTAAAGATCAGGCCCTGTCACATTTTTTATAAGTGAAGATGTAAGTTTCTGGTAGAATGTCCCTCATGGTATAATTAATATTTGAAAGAAGTCTCATGCTAAGCAAAGTTGCGCTTATTCAAAATTATTGTGAAAATATGTTTGCTCATATATTTTAAAATGAAATTAATGTGATGTGGGGACTTCTGGTTAGGTGAGCCATAGGATGGCTGAATAAAATGTACTCTCCTGGTCATTATGTTCAAAAAGCTCTTATACTTTTACCTATTCAAGTGTTTTTTGCACCAGACAATTTTTAATTAAGTAGGGCGAAACCAAAGACTATAAAATACACAAGACATGTCACTCGTATGCTTTCAAATAGAAGAAAGTGTAACGGTCATTATGGTGAATAAAGGCTGCCTTCTAGTATAGGAGTCAATCAGCGATCGCTATAGAATGACAATTCTCCTATGGAGGTGCTCGGTCCAGACATGAGTTTCTGCAGATTATGTGTTATACGAACATTCAGAAACTAAACTAAATAGACAATTGTTGTTTAGTTTTATTGATTATTCGTAATATGTAAGCTTGGCAAGTAGTTTTTGAGAATTTGATAGTTCAATTCCATTTAAACAGAATGCCTGAGCATACTGTCTGAGAGGCGTTTCAAAGATGGCAGCCTAGTGAAATGACTTGCTTTAAAGGCGAAACCTACTGTAAAAAGGGGTCTGTAAACCTAAAAATAAGTGAGGAGGAGAACTAGATGATGGATGACAACGATAAACTGTTCCCTGAGAAATAACATAGCGTCAAAACTTTGCGAGCAGTGAGAGCACTTCGAACTGAAGACGGATTTAAGGAAAGAATTCAGCCAATTCAAAGAAGAGTTTAAAAATTATATAAAAACAAAAGTGGACAAGCTGAAAAGTGGCATAAACCAGAGGTTAGAAGGCATCTCCGAAGATTTTCAGTCACATGGCACAAGACTGTATGAAGCAGAGGAGCGAATAGCTGAACTCGAGTCGGAAAACCTTGAACTAAAGAAATTAATGTTATCTCAAAGCATAAAATCATGTTATATGATAATTTGACTTTTAAGAGAAAAAAAAAGTACGTTAATATATGTCTTCTTTGTTAACTGTCTTTTCTTAAATATCCATTTTTACCTTTTTCAGGATTACAACATATATAGAAATAGACAATTGTTATTACTTGGTTAATTTTATTACATCTTCATCCATCCTGCTGTCATATCACTTTATATTTGTACTTTATTAAAAAGATATAACTTAACTTCGGCAGTAGCAAAAATTTTATAGATTTCAGACATGACGGTAGACAACTTGAATATATAGGAATTGAAGAAGTCTTTGAATCACATAGAGGAGGTAATCTGAATAAAAGATTATTACACAGAGAAGCGTTCTGGATTCATAAATTAAAATCACTCACACCAAGAGGAATAAACGAGGAATTGAACCTTTCAGTGTTTCTTTAATGTTTTTTTTTTTTGTTTAGCTATAATATTGTGAATCATGGATTTTGCGTAACGATACAGATAATGTGATAAAAATGTATTTTTAATGTTTCGGACTATCAGAATTTCATTGCATTGACGTAGACATGAATAAGTGATTGACGATAATTGATGTGCTATTTTCCTGTGCAATGGAGATGATTTTTTTTAAAGGTGAAGGTAAATATTTCTTGTGTGGTTAATTACAGTATTTTGAAACTAAAATGAGATTGTTTTTAATTACTAAGTGGCCGTCTAACTAATGATCTAATGGGATTGACTCTGGGATAAAAGGCTGGAGTAAGAGGATTGTGTAATGAACTAAGGAAGGCATTGTGCCGGAACGTCTGTGTTTTGTATCACTTAAGAATGTAAAATAAAGCTATATAAAGTAATTATTTAAAAAGTGTGAATCATGACCTTCTTATTGATATTATTGACAAGATTAACACACCAAAAATAAGCTTAAAATCCACGAGCTTGCAGTGCAAACTTCATTACTGTACTTTATTAAAAACAAATAAGACTAATAAGATGCAAAGGCAAATGCCTATTTCCATATACAAATAAAATACAGCTCTAAAAACTACTTAGGGTGACTAGAAGTAGGGTATCAGACGTCCTCATGGTGGCACTCTTCGAGCACAGATTCAGAAACATTTCTCATGTGGTACTCTGTCTTTTTACTGTATTAGATAACTTTAATTCCTCACTAATCCTTTCCTCATGATTCTTAAGGTCCCAATGTCTGCTATATGTCTTTTTTTGTGCACCTCTGGTTAGGCTCATACCAGAACATGTATATAAAAAAATCCTTTGAAAATAAACAAGTTGAGTTATATAAATGTGTCTTAATTCTGTGTGTGCTTTCTCTCCTAAAGCAGCGGCCAGACGAGTCCGAGCGTGAGGGCTGGGAATATGCCTCTTTATTTGGCTGGAAGTTTCACCTCAAGCAGAAGAAAACCGACTTGTTCCGTCGCCGGCGCTGGAGACGTCGAATGGAGCCATTAGAAAAGACGGGGCCGGCGGCCATCTTTGCCTTGGAGTGTTCGCTGGTAATGAGGGCTGACTATTTGAGTGATGTGGAGCTGGAATTGGGGTGAGATTTAGACAGAGAGACTGGAAAGGAAAGTGGTGGGAGAGAATCAAACAAGGGTGAGATGCTATTTAGACGAAGCAAAGGCGAGAATGGGTGTGGAGGGCTTTGAGTTTGGACAAATCGGAGGTGCTGAGAGAGACTGGGCAAGAAACGTGGAATCAGCCTGGTAAAATAAGGGCATCGTGGGATATCATTTACAGGGAGACAGTGATGGAACAGTGAGTGTGAAAGACAGCGTATGCATAAAGCCTTGTTAGTATGCTTATTCTCTTACGCATAGTCTGGTCCTCTGGGTGCATTGTTACAGATCTATTCCAGGCTGCTTTGGCATGAGATGTCATGTGGTCTTGGCTGGGTTGATAATTGAGAGTTGATGAGAGTCTGGAATAGATCCATGGTGCAAGTAAAAGGCCTCAGTGCTTTGTGGGGGTGAACTGGAAGAATCTTTTGCTCTTATTGGACCTTACTGTACACCTGAAAGTTGGACCAAGAGGCTTCAAGTATAAGCATCATATATGGATTTTGGACAAATTGAATGGTATCTGTATGATGAGGAGTGTTTAATCTGGGTTTGTTTTTTTTCGGTAGCATATATACAGACAGTGCATCTAGAAAGTATTCATAGCACTTCAATTTTTCCAAATTTTTTTTGTTACAGCCTTATTCCAAAATGGATTTAATGAATTTATTTCCTCAAAATTCTACACACAATACCCCATATTGACAATTTAAAAAAGAGTTTTTGAAATTGTTTCAAATTTATTACAAATAAAAAACCTTAAAAATCACAGCCTTTGCTCAATACTTTGTTGATACACCTTTGCCAGCAATTACAGTCTTTTTGAATATGATGCCAAAAGCTTGGCACATTGCAGGTTGCGGTTCCTCTTAAGCTCTCCCAGGTGGATGCAAAGCGACAATATTCAATAAGATTTAGCTCTGGACTCTGGCTGGGCCACTCAAAGACATTCACTGAGTTGTTGTGAAGCCATTCCATTCATATTTTGGCGGTTTGCTTTGGGTCATTGTCCTGCTAGAAGCCCCAGTCTGAGGTCAAGAGCACTCTGAAGCAGGTTTTCATTCAGGATGTCTCTTTACATTGCTTCATTCATCTTTCCCTCTATCCTGACTTGTCTTCCAGTTCCTGCTGCTAAAAGTCCCCACAGCATGATTCTGACACCACCATGCTTCACTGTTGGTATGGTATTAGCCTAATGATGAGCGGTGCCTGGTTTTTTCAAAATGTAATGCCTGGCAATCACTCCAAGGAGTTCAGTTTTAGTCTCATCAGACCAGAGAATTTGGTTTCTTATGGTCTGAGAGTCCTTCTGATGCCTTTTGGCAAATTGGAGAGTGGCTTCCCTCTGGCCACTATACCATACAGGCCTGATTGGTGGATTGCTGCATAGATTGTTGTCCTTCTGTAAGGTTCTCTTCTCTCTACAGAAGAACGCTGAAGCTGAGACAGAGTGACCATCAGGTTATTGATCACTTCCCTGACTAAGGCCCTTCTCCCCCGATCACTCAGCTTAGATGGCCGGCCAGCTCTAGGAAGAGTGCTGGTGGTTTCAAACATCTTCCACTTACGGATGATGGGGGCCACTGTGCCCATTGGAACTTTCAGAGCAGCAGAAATTTTTCTGTAACCTACCCCAGCCTTGTGCCTCAAGACAATCCCATCTCGGAGATCTACAGACAACCCTGGGACCTTATATAGACTGGTGTATGCCTTTTCAAATCATGTCTAATCAACTGAATTTACCACAGGTAAACTCCAATTAAGCTGCTGAAAAATCTCAAGAATGATCAGAGGAAACAGAATGTACCTGAGCTTCACGGCAAAGGCTGTGAATACTTGAGATTTTTCAGGTTTTTTATTTTTAATAAATTTGCAACAATTTCAAAAACACTTTTTTTTTCTTCTTTTTTTTAATCACTTTTTGGAATAAGGCTGTAACATAAAAAAATGAGGAAAAAGTGAAGCGCTATGAATACTTTCTGGATGCACTGTAATTAGCATATGTATCTGATTCTCTTGAGTAAATCAGCCTTTTCAGGAGAGCTTTTTAAAGTGAACTGTTTCACTAGAATGAGTAAGACATTTTTCTGATTTATTATAAAGCAATAAAAAAAAAAGTTGGCTGTTGGGCTTTGTTGGTCCATTGGTCAGCTTCATTCGGTTTGGTTTGATATTTTTCCACATGTCAGGATAATGTTAAAACTCGTTGGCCCAATTCAGCACGTTGAATCGACGATGAGCCTTTGGCTGAAGAGAGTGCTCTGACTGGTTATTTAGCATCGAGAGCGTGACATAGTGAAGTGACGTAGCAAGTAAACAATGTAAATCAAGAAGGAACACAAAGAGACCAGCTGTAATTTCACTATAATTCTCTATTATTTGCAACTGATATGAATTCTTAGATTATCTGACTTACTTGCAGGAGTGAATCCCTCAGAGGTGAGGGAGAATTACTATGATAATGGTATTAAAATGGTTTCATCTATGCTAGTTGTGTAGTATCGACTTGGTGTGTCCTGGCCTTAAGATGAACCAGTTTAGCGGAATAAGACTTCACCTCTAAGTATGAAACAGATTACAAGTTACAATGAACAGATTCACTGTGATGAATCAGACGTTTTACTGTCATGAAAGAGAAATAGACAAATTCAGTAAAATTCTTCAGACTTTTTAACTGTGCTATATATGAGAAAGTGTTTAGGTTGAATTGTTTACTAGAATGAATGAAGACTTTGCAGTGTTACATATGAAACCCTATCAATCTATCCATCCGTCCATCCATGAGAGAGATTTATTTTAGAATGAACTGGTTGACTGTTGAATCATGTCTTTTCAGCACTTAGAGTATCACATAGAGCAAGGGTCACCAACCCTCACACACCACATTAGAACCCGAAGCAGCACTTGATATCTCTCAAGGCCTTTTCCTTCACTTTTGTCAATTGGTGAAATTTGTTCTTCGCTACTGTCTCCACTGGCTTGCGTGGTTGGGATTTGTGAACCTGCGCATCGATCTTCAATGTTTGGACTTCCAGCAGTGAAATTTAAACCACACTGAACTGAACTAAACTGAGCTTAAACTCTAAAAACTGGACTGACAGTTTTAATTTACTAAAAGTTCTATGTTAATCTGCTTTGACATTCTACATTGTAAAAGCGCTATAGAAATAAACATGTATTGAATTGAATAATTACAGGCAGGTGTGTTTGGTCAGGGTTGCAACAGAAATCTGCTGGAAGGTAGCTCTCCAGGAACAGGGTTGGTGAACCCTGATATAGAGTATTTAAGATGAAATGATTCACGAGAATGTCATAGAAGATTGATTTATTTGATAGAAATTATAAGTAGAATTTTAAGATTAATTAGTTACCCAGAATGAATTGAAATATGATTTAATTTGTTTTACCATTACAAAAGTAAGAAAGACATTCATATTATGAACTGTTTTAATAAAATTGACCAGACTTTCACTGTGCCATGTACGAGGTGTTTAGGTTGAATCAATTTACTAGAATCAATCAGACTTTCCAGCATACGACGTGAAAGATAGATAGCAGTTTAAAATGAACCAATTCACTAGAATAAATCAAACTCTTCACTGTGACAAATGAGAAAGAGCCATTTAGGATCAATTGAATCAGTGAATTAGACTTTTGACTGATATATATGAAAGATGGAGAGTGGTCTGAAATGAACAGATCCACTATATTGTACATTGCCTAAAACGGATTCCCTAAAATGAGTTATTTCTTTCAGATACGAGCCTTTTAGGATGAGTAATTCACTAGAATGAATCAGACATTTTAGAAAGCAGGTTTTGATTATGCCTTGGCTTTCTTGGTGCTAAAACCTACATGTGTGAACGTTGTGCCATGAAAAATATCAATTCTGTGTATTTGGTTGCTCTGCACCACAACTTGTTAAAATTGAAGTCCTGTTTTAGAGGGCACATTGGAGGGTGTGTTTCTTTACTTATTTTTTTTCTTCTCCAAAACCGTACAAGGGTATTGGGTTATGTAAACATAGTGAGCCACAAATGACATAGCAGTTTTAGTTTGGTTAGGAGACATCATCTGGCATTTTATTCAGAGAAGGTCAGGATTTTTGCATGTGTCAAAATGATATTCGAGTGTCTTGGGATAGTGACACGTAATCACTTCATTCCAGTGGTTTGTGGCGCTTATACAGTTGCCCTTTCCACATCTGACAGCAAAGTCATCATTAACACGTACTCTGTTTACTCTTTTGGTTAGAGTATTGTGATATCTGATCCAACATGAATGCCTTGTCTTGTCCAGACGCCAAAAATGCCAACATATGCGGGTCTGCTGTTTACATTGAAAGAACATGGTGTGTCTCACAGTGTTTTTGTTTGTTCCTTTTTGTCAATAGAGCAGCTTTACTGATGAAAAGAATGACGATAAGTCAGTCACTACAACATTTGGTGTCAGCCGGCCGACTATCTCCTGCTTCTTTGATAGTGAGTCAAACATGCCGTTTTTTTTAGCTCATTTCAAAAACAGGCACATTTAAATAACGGCTAAGACTAGACTGATGTTTTTCTTTATGATTTTTCAGGTGGGACCCTGTATCATTTGCGCTGTTACTTGTATCAGGCCAGAGACCTGCTGGCTATGGACAAGGACAGTTTCTCGGGTGAGCATACAGTACTGCCTTAATTGTCACTATTATAGAAATCACAAATGTAAATCAGGGTTGGATGTCTACATACATGCATAGATTCCTTGAAAGTTTGTGAATATGTGAAATGTGAAAACTTTTAACAAAATAAGAGAGATTGGTCACATTTTATTTTAAGGTACAATTCTCACTGTTATCTAAAGCATAGTTCACACTATAGGATTTTCAGGCTGATTTGATCACGATTTGGAAGTTAACAAGCTCGAGGACAGATCGGGCTGTGATCGGGGAAAAATCTGCGGGTGCCGGCGCTCGGCAGTCTTTATGTGTGAACTTCTGAACAACACATCAAAGAGGCTCGCTGAAGCGTTGCAGACACCTCGCAGACGGAAATCTAATATCTAGCATGCTGAATATTCCAGAGCAGTCGGCCGACTCAACCCCATGTGCGGTCAGATTTAGTGATGAGCTGCAGCCAATGAGAGAGCATATCAGCTTGAGCTGAATGGCCATTGTGCTCAGGGGCTCAACAGAAATGTCTGTGATTGGCCGGAATGGGCATTGATGAACTCTCTTCATTACATGTTACAGTTACCATACTGCTCATTATGAGCATTCTCATATAAGATGTTATATTGTTACATCATATTTACATTCAAAACATCTCTTGAGATATTACAATTAAGCTTCCTGTAATCATATTCTATGACACCATTACCCTAAAATATAATCTTTTTTGGTAATACAGCCTATAAATATGTAATTAAGATAATAGAACACGCAAAAGTCTGTGCCTTGCTTTCATTTTTACTTTTAAAAGGAGCTATTTTACAGCACAGAAAAGGCTGTTTTGAAAGATGTATCTGAAGTTTTTGCTACCAGAAAGTTCTGTTGATGTTAGCAGGTAGTTGCTAGGCAAAAAATGCATGCATATTTAAAGCCACAGCGAAAAGTAGCAGACATGCATGCAGTCATGTTGACCAATATGGTTATTAAAGATAGAAATGCTCAGATCTTTACTGTTTTGTTATTTAAAAAAATAACAATGTTAGAAAAAAAAAGATATTTAGAAAACGTCAGCGTGTTATAGATATGCTTTATTTCAAAGAGTCATTAAATTACAAAAATTTAAAACTCTCTGTGTATCTATTCACTTGAACCTTGCAGATAAGTGATTGATCTGCTCAGCTGATTGACGATGTTTTTAAATGCTTTAAATTGAAAGCTTGAAACGCTGTCAGTGATGTCATCAGCCGACAAGCAGCCAATGGTGTTCAGCTTTTTCTGATGACGACTCCCTCAGCATTTCATTGGCTGTGGTTTGGTAGCTTGACTGGGTTGGGTAACGAGTTGTTGTCAGATCATGTAGTATGTGACCCCCCTCCCCTCTTCTTTATCATTTACGTAACACTGGCAGATTTCAGGGTGAAATGGTTTTAAATTTCCAGCAATGAAGTGGTGACAGCTCTCAGACTGGTTGTAGTAGGCAAAAAGTATTAACGTAATTGCTATCCATGGTGCGCCTCAAATTCAAACTGGTAAACCAATCAAAAGCAACAAAATAGCACTGCTTTAATGAATGACCTTAGCAGAAGGCATCGTGCATATCAAAAACAGGCAAAGCAACAGGTTAATATTATTCAACATATCCCAGATTTTTAAAGAATATTTTTAGACGTAACTCCATTTGTAAACGTTTTCATAAGTAACTGTAATTTAGTTAAACATTTTTCCTCAGTAACTGTAACAAATTACTGTTGCATTTATTTTGTAATTAAATTACGTAATGCTGTTACATGTAACTAGTTACTCCCCAACACTGTTGGCTGCTTACTAATAGTTAAGTGTAGGAATTGGTAAGATTAGGGATGTAGAATTAGATCATGCCCAATATGCACTTTTTAAGTAATAATAAGCAACCAATATCTTAATAATAATCATGCATATAAGCAGTTGATGGTGAGAATTAGTCCCTAAGTTTTACAAGAGATCATACAAAATGCATGTTATTTATTTTTTATTTTTTTAAACTAAGAGTATTCTGAGTTATTATTCTGAGTTATCTTATTAAAGATATTTTACATAAATTATATTTAAAATAGCCAGAATTATTTAAATGACTCCTTGCAAAGTTTGTGAACCCTTGGTTTTTAATACTGTGTGTGGTCACCTGGGTGATATGCTTTGTGATGGTTGTTTATGAGCCCCTTTTTTGTTCTGAACAGTTAATCTGATGCTTTCCTTCAGAATAATCCTCTATGTCCTGTAGATCCTTCAGTTTTCCAGCAGTGCCTATTTGATTTGACATCTATTAAACACAACTATTTAAAAGAGTTCAAGTGCATTCAAGATACAATAAAAGCTGGGGTACACACTTTTAGTCAGGATGAAGATGTCAAGAATTTATTATTTATTTATTCCTATATATATTTCCATTTAGCTCATCAAAAACAATAGAAGATACTTGTATGTTTTATTCAGTTTTCATTCACTGATGTGGGTACAGATATAGTGTCATGGTGCATAATAAGGCCCAATCCCAGTTTTACCCCTTAGCCCTTTTCCTTACCCCTACCCCTCATGTTGCGCGTTTACATGGGGTAGGGGTGTCCCAATTCTCTTTAGCTTGAAGGTGTAGGGCTAAGGGGAAGGGCTAGATAGCCTTTGAAACAGATATTTTTCAGGACCACACTCGAAACCAACGAGTACAAAGATTCTCCAGAATACACCAGCTATAACGACAACATGGCTGCATACGCGAGTCAAGAGATACATACTGTAAAATAGTATTTTTCGGCATTATTAAACTTTTTCCAACAAACAAGCATGTTTTAATACATACATAATGGCATTCGTGATTTCGTGTTTTACGGTCATGCATTAAAAAAAAAAAAGCTAAATTTTGCTATCTATAATCCATAATATCTCCTGTATAGTAGTCCCACAACATACTTTCACATCTGTCACTCGATGACACTAAAATATCCTGTCATAAATGTCTACTGGCTGGGAATGACTCATTATGTCTGGCATAATGTTAATCTGGCTTTCTTGTGTTTGCTTGTGTTATATATTATGGACACAATGTAAATGCACAGTACAGTTACGAGCTTACTGCCACATTGTCCTGATAACATGATATTGTTGATTTTTTAAAGATTCAACTGGAACAACTACAGCAGTCACCATAGTCCATCTAATATGAAGTAAGGGCTCATGATGACATATGATGAAGTGTGCTGGTGTTGTAGTGGTGTCCCATTTAATAGGAGTCAATTTTCAAGCCCTTTCCCTTAACAATTTGTTTCAAGGGCCAGTGGAAAAGGAGAAGGGGTAAAAAAAATAGAATTGGGATTGGGCCTAAAGCTGTTTGTATGAATGGGTCTTTACTGACTCTGAATGTTTAGTTTTAATTTATAATAGATAATAAAAAACCTATTAAAAAGGGCTCCAAAGTTCTGAATTTTGCCCAAAGTTCTTAATCTTATTGAGTAAAATCTGATAAAAATATAGAAATATATTGTAACCAGGGGTAGTGACACTGACAACAGAAGGTAGGATCCAAATGCAGGTTTAATCATTGTCAGGCAAATAATGGTCAATACAGGTGTAAACAGGTATATTGAGACAGTCCAGAATCGTAGTCATATACTGTAACAGGCGGGAGGTCGTAAGGCAGGCGGCAGACTAAGACAAAACAAGGCTAACAAGGCTAAGGTCAATAAACAGGATAACAAGACAAGGAGAACGCGTTGTAGTGTTACTAGTACAGTTAACAAGACTCGGCAAACTGAATGAGTGTGTGTGCTGCTTAAATAGTGTGTGTTATCAGTGTTTGACAATTCTCAGGTGGCGCGAGTGTAATCAGTCTAAATGAGGAAGTAGGTGTGTGTGGGCTAAGAGCATGTATGAAGTTGAAGTCCATTTACAACCAGATTTGTAGTTCTGCGAGTGAAAATGTTTTCCAGCGACCTTTGGTGGTTAGAGAGATCGTTGGTGATTGTGACATATATACCTCATTTATTAATTTTGTTTAGCAGCTCCATATCCTGCACTGTGATCCCTAAGATCCTGAATTTGTAGCTATTTGCCTGAGATTCTGGGTAATATAACTCTTCTAAATGCAGCAATAGCATGACATTAAGACACACAGCAGGCATCTGCTAAATCAGCTTTTTAAAACATTTACTACAATACCACATGGCACCATAAGACCTCTGCCAGTTGCTGTGACATTTTGCTCAAGTTAACATAGAGTATGATACACATTTCCAGGTCATGTGGTGGTACAAAGTGAAGTCAATGGGTTGTCTTAATGTGAAGCATATTGGGAGAAAGAAAGAGAGAGAAAAAGAGAGAGAGAGAAGGGGTAACGGTAGAATTAAAATTATACAAATTTATGTAGAAATAACAAAAAGGTCACCATTTCATGGAACTATAGAAACATTTTATAAATAACAAAATCATAAAAGAAGTCTTTTGAGATGTAATGGTAGATGAACTATAACTGAGCTTACGTCAGGAGGGGTGAAATATTGTGCCTGGCACAGATTGGACCAAAGCAGTTTGGGTCAAGTGTATCCCAGTGAGAAGTAAAATGAAGTAAATTTATGAGAGAGGACGTTGGCAGCAATGATGTAAAAAATGACATTTGTGTAGAGAAGGAGAGGTATGCGGAGTAAAGCTAATCAAGTGTGAGCTATGCCCTGGTGGTTAGCATGAGTTTTGATGCTGTTGCTGGTTTGAATCTGGCTTGCAACGTCCTTCTTAATCTCCCATTGACACACTGTCCTCTTTGAATCTTAAAAAGTATAAAAGGCCAATCAAAATATGCTGAAGTTGTTTCACTGCCATTTTTTTTTTCTTTTTGATTTACTGGTGTTAGATTTATTTAACCAAGCTCATTTTTCACAAGAAATAGTCTTCCATGAATTGGAAAGTATCAAAACAAGTGCACATAAAGCATGTGCGCACTGAATGTTCTTTTAAAAAAAAATTTCAGGTTTATTTTAGAT